TACCCTGACCAGACCTGACCCTTCCAACACTAGCTCTGCTCCTGTATGGTTCTGCTACAAAGGGTTTCCTTCCTTGAAATCAAAACATTTATTCTGCTTTTCTTCTGCTCCAATTTTTTTTTTTTTAATTACTTGGACACTAGAGTTCTTGCTTAAAACATTGACACTTTTCACTCCAAACTCACCTATCTCCAAAGTCAGAAGTAAAAATGCTCTTTTCCCGCAAATCCTCAAACCAGAAAATAGCCACCCCAGCATCACTATCACCCTCTGACTCTTCCTTTCATTAGGTTAGAAGGGCTGAGGCTCCTCATCAACTTTTGCTGATCCTCCTGTTTCATCGCTTTGCCCAATCCTGTGCATTCAGCCCTACCAGCATCATGACATCATCTTATTTTGAGAGACTGAAGGAGGATTTCATTTCCAATTAATTTTTCCACTAGGGCAAAGAGATTTTTAAATTACAGATTCAAGGGACAGATTGCTAAGCAATGAGCATAAATATTTTTTTTTTCTTTCTCCAACTAAGGAGAAAGCACAACTCTCTTTTGTTCTAATTTCCTTTTTTTTTTTTTTTTTTTTTGAGATGGAGTCTCGCTCTGTTCCCCAGGCTGGAGTGCAGTGTCACAATCTCAGCTAACTGCAGCCTCTGTTGTCTGGGTTCAAGCAATCCTCCTACCTCAGCCTCCCAAGTAGCTGGGACTACAGGTGTGCGCCACCATGCCTGACTAATATTTTGGTATTTTTGGTAGAGACAGGGTTTCACCATATTGTCCAGGCTGGTCTTGAACTCCTGACCTCAAGTAATCCATGAGCCTTGTCCTCCCAAAGTGCTGGGATTACAAGCGTAAGCTTCTGTGTTCTAATTTCCTTCTATTGTCCAAATGCCACACCCTCTGTGAAGCCTTCCTGATTCCCATAATCAATTAATTCTCCTTTCTCTACAATATGTACCTCAGTAGATTGTTTTATTAAGTGAGGTACAGAATCAAATAATAAGAACTTGCCTTTAATAAGTACTTACCATAGAATAAGCATTTTGATAAGTGCCAGACAAGCATAGTCTCATTTTACCTCATAACAATGAGGTAGATGCTACATTTATCCCCCTTTTACAAATGGAGGAATGGAAGCCCAAAAAGATTAAGTAATTTGCCCAAGTTCACATACACAGTTTGTGAGTGACAGAACCATGATGTAATTAATTAATTAATTATTTTTTTGCAACAGAGTCTCACTCTGTCACCCAGGCTGGAGTGCAGTGGTGCAATCTTGGCTCACTGCAATCTCTGCCTCCTGGGTTCAAGCGATTCTTCTGCTTCAGCTTCCTGAGTAGCTGGGATTACAGGCATGTGCCACCACGCTCAGCTAATTTGTGCATTTTTAGTAGAGGTGGGGGTTCACCATGTTGGCCAGGCTGGCCTTGAACTCCTGACCTCAGGTGATCCACCTGCCTCGGCCTCCTAAAGTGCTAGGATTACAGGCACGAGCCACTGTGTCTGGCCAAGAACCATGATTTAAATCCATGTATGTGTAAATCCATAAACCACAATCCCAATTTCTTTACCTAAGATGCCCTGGTACATATTAGGCACTCAGTTATGGAACATCTTATTTATTTTCAAGACAGAGTCTTGCTCTGTCACTCAGGCTGGAGTGCAGTGGTGTGATCACAGCTAACTGCAGCCTCGACCTCCTTGGTTCAGGAGACCTTCCCACCTCAGTTACCCCAGTAGTTGGGCCTACAGGTGCTTGCTGCCACACGTGGCTAATTTTAAGTGTTTTTCTAGAGGTCTTGGACCCCTTAGCTAAAGTGATCCTTCCATCTTGTCTTCCCAAATTGCTGGGATTACAGGTGTGAGCCACTGTACCTGGCCAGACATCTTACTAGCTTTGTATTATTCCGCCCTTTGAATTTTGAATGTCCTTTCTCTTGTCTATCAGTTTTTCACACTGCTTTTCAGTTTACAATGCTCTTTTGTGTATACTACTCTATCTTGCTCTTTCCCAAATCCCCTAAAGTTGCTATTAGTACTCATGTTTTCCAAATGTAGAAGCTGGTGAGTGCTCAGAAACACTGTATAATAAAGGCTAAAGTTAGAGATATCAGGTCATTTGCTTAAAGATGTGGTGGCCAGCCTAGGCAACATGGGGAAACCCCATCTCTCCAAAATAATAATAATAAATAAATAAATAAATAATTACCCGGGCATGATATCACATGTCTGTAATCCCAGCTACTCAGGAGGCTGAGGCAGGAGAATCGCTTGAACCCGAGAGGTGGAGGTTGCAGTGAGATCGCGCCACTGCACTCCAGCCTGGGCTACAGGACAAGACTCTGTCTTAAATAAATAAATGAATAAATTAGTGGTGGATCTGAAATAAGGAAAAGGTAAGAAATTTTCTATGAAGAAAGTATGGTGGAGCTAGAACTTAAATTCTGGTGTGCTAACTCCAAAGCCCACCCTTTCTTCACCCTGTTCCAGGGCTCCTGCCCTAGGGCCCCGACTCTCCAGAATCGGAGGAGATTAGATCTCTACCATTAGTATACACGGCTCGGTCGTTGCACTCCCCCTTCACGGCTTGCACCTAAGGCGCTTATTTATAATTATGGGTGGATGTATACTCGCTGCTTACACGTGCACCTCTCCCTGTAATACGAGCCTCCTGAAGGCAGGGGCAATAAGTCGGGTGGTTTGGAATTCCTTCGAGCGCCAGCACGGGACCGGGGCCTGTACACAACTGACGTAAATGAAATGTAAGGAAAGCTTCGCGCTGCATCTCACCTCCTGAACACTGTATCGACAGGACAGGGCCTGGGTCATTGATATATACTTTACAGCCTTCTGCACACAGTAGGAGCTCCGCATCATTAAACTTCAGTTTCCCTACCTTTCTCGGAACATAAAGCGAAAGGGGGAGGGAACGGGCACGCAACTCCTCACCTGAGGGCTCAGCAGGGTCCTCAGGTGCTTCAACTGCATGACGCACACCTGTCTCTCAGATGCTACCAGACAGCGACAACTCCCGTGGTTACCTGGACAACCCGCCACGCAGCCGCAGCGACAGCCGCTGACGCTTACGCGACCGGAGAGCAACACGCGTCGCAAGGTCACACAGCTTTGCGGCGAAGCAAACAGAACGTGCGCAAGCGCGGTGAGATCTGGGGCGGGCCCTTGAGAGGGATTGATGAATGCTCTTCTTGACCAATCCTGTTTCGCATGCAAACCCTAACTCAAGCCCCTCCCACAAGCCTTCGACTAGTCCTGAGTCCTACGTCATCGCGGTCCGTCTTGCTCTTTGTCAGACTTGACTGTTGCTGAGTGCACTCTTTTAATCCTCACAGCCCTAGAGAAAAGCAGGGCAGTTGGTATTAGGCCTTTTGCAGTTGACGGAATTGTACCCAAATAGGTTACATGACTTGCACGGGATCGCAAGGCTAATAACGATAGCTAATGATGAATACCCAGTATGTGTCTGCCAGGTACTGTGCGAAGTGTTATACGTGCATTTGTGTCATTTAATCCCGAAACCACCTTTCGAAGGGGATAACGTTATTAGTTTCATTTTACATAGCAGGAGACTCAGGGCACTTGCTCAAACTAACACAGTCAGTTTGAGTTGGAACTGGGATTCAACCCAGAGTTGGTAGCTTTAAATACCTTTTATTTTCCTCAGGGCACTTGCTCAAACTAACACAGTCAGTTTGGAGTTGGAACTGGGATTCAACCCAGAGTTGGTAGCTTTAAACACCTTTTATTTTCCTTCTCATCTCCTAGCTCGCTCTCTCCATGCCATGATACTATAACCTGTGACACTCCCATCCCAATAAATGATGATATTTATTCTCAGAATCTGAGAGATGAGTGTTTTTGAACCAGCTGCCAGAGAAATGTAAGGTACCCTACTTCCAAATTGGGTAATGGTGGGTTAAAGACTGTTGTTTACATTGGAACGCTTTTAGGGTTCAGTTTTGAGGGCAGACCAGACTTGGCTCACCTGATAGTTGTCTTGTGATACCTGGGGTTGGAGATTGGTTAAGTAGAAAAGATACTGACTTGTTGATCTTTGTTTGGATTGGAGTTCCTTTCCAGATTTTTGGCCTATCTTCTAACATACCAGAGATATTGAAATGCAGAAAAGGAGTTACTCATAAGCCTCTCTGAAATGACCCAAAGCTGGGAAGATCTGTGACTCTCCAGAAAGTGTAGTATATGCTCTCTAGAGAGATTGTGGGTCCAGAAACCTTCCCCCACAGTGGCTGTAAATGTCAACAGGGGTTTGTCTCATGGCCACCAACCACTCCTTAGAAAATAGGAAAGAGTAGAGGACAGCCCCTATTTTCACGGGAAACAAGTAGGCTTCAGAGCTCAAATGTTAATTCTTTTGACAGGGGAGTCCCAACCCCTCAGTTTTATTTTCAGAATCCTCCTCTGGATATGGTGGCAGAGCATGAACATAAACTCATTTATGATTTACACTTATTATTGACTTTGACTAAACAGAGGCAGAGCAGAAAGGGAACGCAAAGGAGGGAGGAACAGACACAGGAACACATAGGATAGGAGCATGTGGCACCAGGAATCCATGAGTGTAGCTGTCCTTTCAATAGTCCCCAAGACACTGCTTAGTCCTTTTCTGACCATTAGCCCAGGGTTGATGGAGGAGTCAGAAGAATAAGTGGTGAGGAGCTGTGCTGTTGATGCAAGCAGTGAAGATTAAAAAGCTACTGCCCTCTCCTTTGATATGCCTTAGTTTCCAGTGGTTCCGGAACTTACATCTTTCTCTTATCTTTTTCCCATTCTCACCCAACAAAGCAACAGAATCTGGGGTTCTAGTTTTCTACACCTCTTCTTCCTGGTCCCTATCCCAAGGTGGAGTATTTTTACACCTTGCAATGAGAATCTGCTCCTGTCAAGTAGGTGGTGATGTGAGGGGCCCTTGGAGGGTCAGGAGAGAGACGAGGTGAGGAAATGTCTTCGGCATACTATATAGTCAGCTCCAGTTTGTCCAAGAACCTTTATTGGAAAAATGTCCAAGGAGTGAGATCACTGGCAGCTGAAGGGGCTGCCAGGTGAGAGGGGGAGCACCTGAGGCTCCATGGAAGACATTGGAGTAGTGCAGTGCAGCATCTGCCTCTAGGCTGCGACAATTCCTTTTGTTTGCTGGGGAAAGAGGAGTACCCACAGAAACACCCCTCTCTGAGGCCCAGAGGCAAGATGTGGGGGCAGCTGGGGATGCTGAGAGTCCTGATACAGGTGGAATGGGGCCCCCATTTGGGACCTAATGGGTTAGGGTAGAACAAGTGACTCTCCCCTGGACCAGGGGATGGGAGGAGATATCCCATCTGATATCCGCTCCCCAGGTCCAGGGGCACAGACTCTTAACAGACTGGCTCTGCTCACAGTGGAAAGAGGATGGGTACCAGGCCTGAGATTGTGGGAGTGTCATTACCCTCTGAGAGTCTCCAGCAGATCACCATCTTGGGCTTTCCCTGACCCCACCCCCATCCCCAAGTTCTTAGTGCATCTCTCTTCTGGGTGTGTTTCTTCCCTCAAACATCGATGGTGTTGATGGATGGTGACTTTTTCTGTGAAAGGAAATGGACTGAGTCTCAATTTCAGGAAGGTAATAGGTGCCACCCTTTCTCTCCAGCCTCCCTCATTCCAGGTCTTCCATTTTCATCTTTTTCTGCCCCTCTTTGACCTTCTTCCTTTTCCTGGCTGCCCCTCAGGGGCAAAAGCACCCTTTCTGCCCTCACTGGCCCCCACATCACCTGTCTTGTCCCCACTGGCCTTCCCTGAGGACTCTGTTCCGGTCCCTTTCCCTTCTCCTTGGGATTGTTGTTGGAGTCGTTGTCCTTGATGATGTCATACTGACGGCAGAACAGCCCAATTACAGCTGAAACATAATACAGTCTGAGCTTTCATCTCCCACAACAGGGAGATACCCACATAGCTTCTAGAAAAATCCATGAAGAACATCCTGAATTCCTGGTGCCCAATGCAGTCCTCCTCTCTGGGCTCTCAACAGCCTCCTCTCCCTCTCTTCAAACTTCGAATCATCCCTCCTCAACTAAGTGTCTCCCCACTCCATTTCTTTCATTTTTTTTTTCTTTGAGACAGAGTCTCGCTCTGTCATCCAGGCTGGGGTGCAGTGGCACCATCTCGGCTCACTGCAACTTCCTCCTCCTGAGTTTACGTGATTTTCCTGCCTCAGCCTCCTTGAGTAACTGGGATGACAGGTGCTCTCCACCACACCCCACTAGTTTTTGTATTTTTAGTAGAGATGGGGTTTCACTATGTTGGCCAGGCTGGTCTTGAACTCCTGACCTCAGGTGGTCTGCCTGCCTCGGCCTCCCAAAGTGCTGGAATTACAGGCATGAGCCACGTGACTGGCCCATTTCTCTCACTTTTTCTCCTGACAACCTTTGCCACCTCCCACCTTAACTGAGTCCCTGGTCCCCTGTCTAGCTGCTTACTCACCAGCCCACATGAGCAACACCACCACAATGATGACCACTTCCCCAGTCTGCAGTGGTCGCTCTCCATCAAGACCCTCCACTGTGATGTCACCTGAGAAGGGAGAAGGCAGACTCCAGGTTACTGGGGAATAGCTCTCTGTGCAGACATATGCAGGATGGATATGCTGGGGATTAGAGAGGGCAGACCCATCATAATGTTGCCCTTCGAGTGTAGAGTAGCCCCTCCGTGGGAGGAAGCCATTGGTGGACAGGTGGTTAGCGACCAAAAAGCAGATGGCTGCAGGTTAATTACTCACTCATGCAGGCTGCAGCTGATGTGAAGTTGGGTAACAGGAAGCTTAGAAGCCCTTCCCCCAGAACAACTCAATACCAGCCTGTCTATACTCAGTCCCCTTCTCACCTGCTTTTCCTTCCTTTCCTGGCAGTACAATATTATAAATTGATTAATAAATGAATTAAATCATCCTATGCACATCAGCTAGACTGTTTCTTGTCTTGGGGAAGTAAGTAAGAGGCTGCAAGCCGGGTAAGCAGCCGGAGAATCCAATAGCACAGACCCTCACCTGGGCCTGAGCTGTTTGAAGGTAGCCGGTCAGAACCCTTGAGAGTTCGGAAGTGCACCCGGGGCCCTGGGGGGCTCTCTCCCCGAAGGCCGATGCTCCTGACCTGCACTGTGTAGTCACTGTCTTCAGCCAGGCCCCAGAGGGCACAAGCCCGGGTGGTGGTGTTCACCTCCCGAATCACACGCTGCCCGGGGCCATTCTGCCGCTGCAGGGAGATGAGGGGAGAGGAGACCAGCCTCAACCCAGTGCCAAGCCACAAGGCTCAACCGAGACTCTTCAACATCCAAGCACTCCGGGGGAGTAGCGTGAAAAGGGCAGCCTGAGCCAGGATAGCCTGCTTCCAGATCCCCCACCTAAGTGAAGGAATGTGCAGAAATCCAAGGACACAGGTTGGGGGAGCAGAAGGGTGATTCATACTTGCTGGGAAATGGAGTAGCCAATGACGATGTTGCCTTCTGGGACGTCCCAGGACACAGTGGCCGAGTTGGCTCTGAGGTGAGTGACCGTCACATTCACAGGAGAGGGAGGCCGGTCTGCAGGAGCCAGAGTGTTAACAGGTTCACCCTCTGACTAGCTCTGGTGGACCGTCAGCCCCGTTCCCCTTTACTCACCTGCTCGCACAAAGCCCAGGTCACAGCTGACCAGCAGGAGGACCGTGGGGCTTAGATATGGGGAAAGGGGCAACAGCGAAGCCATGTCCCCACCGAGTCCGCTGGGGGGGCACTGGGGCATCCGCTTGACATCCAGACGGGGCTCCTGGAGGTGGCAGGAGTTGTGGGAGGTCAAGGACTGCCCAGAACGCACGGGGGGAGGGGTAGCAGCTCTCTTGGGCTCCCCACAGCTCACAACAGCCCTATTTTCCCCGCGTCCTCCCGCCCCTGCATTGCCCGGGCGCCCCCAGAGGGCGGTCAGCCCTGCCCACACCCACCTCCGCCGGTCCTCGCGGTCGGTCAGGCCTCCGGGGGCTGCTCGGTGCCCAGAGGGCGGCCCATCGCCCGACTCGGTGGCGCTGCCCCTACCCCATCTTGGCGCGGGCCCGGCGAGGCGGGCAGCGCGGGGCCGAGCTGCCTGCCGAGCGGGCGCGGGTCTTCGGAGCCCCCAGAGCTCGGGCGGGCGGAAAGTCTGTCCCGGAGCAGGGGGCGTTGCCCGGACGCTGGCCCTGGTCCGCGGTGCGGGAGGCAGTGCGGCGGCCTCCGCCCGCCCCTGCAGCGGGATGTGACCGTCCGGGAGAGCCAGCCGCCTTCTGCAGCGCTGGCCCAGCTCGCTCCGCCGCAGCCCGACCGGGACGCGCGGGCCCGCCCCGCCCCACCGGGGTTCTGGCCGCCGTCATTCCCCTCCAGCCCCCCACCCACGTCCTCTCCGGGCTCCTCCCACGACCCTCCCAATGGCGCCTCCGGGTCCCCCATCCCCTATTTCTTCTTTCCCAGCTCAGGCGGCGGAGCCGGCGGGGGCGTAGGGGGAGGCTCGGGTGCGAGGGTCTCCGGCACCTGGGAGATCCCCTTCCTGCCCGCGTGGAAGAGCCAAGTTGGGAGGAGGAATTCCACCTCCAGTGCCCAAGGGGCTAAGAGGAGAGGGGACAGAGTGATGCAGATAATAATTGCTTTAACAATCCCTTACTTATAGACTGCGTCAGCTTTGAAGTCTCTTTCCCATTCATAATCTGATTTAATTCCGTTCGCTTTCTCATTCATTCTTTCATTTATTCAGCAAATGTTTATTGAGCATCTCTTATGTGTCTGGTTAAAACCTGGAGACAGAGATTGTTAAGAATGTTGAGCTTCGAGGGAGAATCAAAGCTCAGAGACCTATGGCTTTTTAAAAAAATGTTATTCCTTTCTTTTCGCCTTTTTGTTTTGTTTTGTTTTTGTTTTTCTAAAGCTCTGCCACTTATGGCATGGTTTTGGAGAAACTGGTTTATCTGTGCCGCAGGTTTCCCACCTGTAAAGCAAAGGGAGTGAAACCTCACAGGGTTGTTGTGAGGCTCAGATGAGGCAATGTTGGGGAGAGATCTTTATAAATCTCACGTGTGAATGGACGATGATTGCAAATTTGCACCAATTTGTTAGTTACTTCCTTTGTTCAATAAACATGTAAGCTCTTACATTATTTCATGCTTTGGTTGAGCTTGAAATCTGGGTGTGAGTCCCGATTTGTCCAGCTGAGTGATCTTAAGCAACCAACTCAACTACTCTGAGCCCGTTTCATCATCTGAAAATGAAGGTGTCAACATTGACCAACATCTTAGTGTTGGTGTATCCCATGAGATACTGTCTGTGGAAAGTGTGTTATTCAGTATAAACAGATGCTGGCTAGCACTATGTTTAGGGCAGATCCTTTGGTTTCTAATTCTCAATGTAGTATTTCTGTCTCTGTGGCATTTTTCCAGCTCTAATGTCCAGTACAGTGTGTGCACACTTGGGGCTCAGAAGCTTCTGCTGCCTTCCTTTCTGAAAGGAGAGGGTAATATGGGACCAGTGGGACTGTGCCTGTGGAGCATGTGATCAAGTCATGGGCCAGGTCCTCTGACTTCTGCTGACCTGGCCGCCCTGATCTCTGGCCTCAGAGGACATCTGCCCAGGGATTCTCACTGCCCTGGGTGTTGTCCTGCACTCCCAGGCTCTAGGTCCTCAGGAGAAGAGGGCATTGTCCCCATAGTGCAAGAGTCAGGAGCCTCTGGTCTTCCTCTTCAGGGCCAAAGCAGACGCTGCGGAGTCAGGGTGCATGCAAAGAGGAGTTTCCCTGAGGTTACCAGAGGGCTGGGGGCCTAGTGACCAGGAAAGGGTGGTGCAGGCGGTGGTACAGGGGGTAGTGCCCTGAGAGCCCAGCGTGCTTGGGTTAATCATCACTGTGGCTCAGATAAGGCCCTGCCAACTGGAAGCAGAGTCACTGTGACCAGAGGGGTTCGTGTGGCTGAAGAGGCAGGCAGAACAGTGTATCCACAGCGCGGGACCATGCCAGCTACAAAACGGTTTCAACATGTCATTGAGACCCCGGAGCCTGGCCAGTGGGAGGTGAGACCCCTTCTCCATGTTGGCTTTCCGTGCTGATTCCTAAAATTATTTTTCATCCAGTGTTCCGTCCGCCCTGGGTTTCTGCTCACCTCTTTTTCCTTCCTGATGTTCTTTCTCTAATATGCCCAGAGTGGCAAGTGCAGGCTGAGTTTCTGGTGTGATGTGTGTGTGTGTGTGTGTGTATGAGAGTCCAAACTCTGTGCCTGCTGCCACTCCAGCTCAGCAGGCATGAATGAGGCTGTGGCTTCCTGCTCCCTCCTTGTCCCCTCTTCCTTCTAGTTGTCTGGGTATGAGGCAGCTGTGCCAATCACAGAGAAGTCAAATCCACTGACCTGGGACCTAGACAAAGCAGATGCTGAGAAAATTGTTCGACTGCTGGGGCAATGTGATGCTGAGATCTTCCAGGAGGAGGGGCAAGCTCTGCCCACATACCAGGTAACCCAGACCCATGCCCTGGACCCTGCAAATAAACATGCCAACCCCAATCCCACCTCTGCCCTCCCTGACCATGGCTCCTAACATTGGAAACCCTGAGACCCCCTCCCCCATCCACCGTCCTCCTCGTCTTGGCTTCTGATTCCTGCCTGTTTCCTACAGAGGCTCTACAGCGAATCTATTCTGACCACCATGGTACACGTGGCCGGGAAAGTTCAGGAAGTGCTGAAGGTACAACCTTCCTTCTGCTCCCTGCCTCAACTTTTCTGTTTCCCTCTTTCTCCTTTTTTTGGTCTCTATTTCTCACTTTTACAGATCTCATCCTCCTTTCTCCCTTTTGAAGATCCTCCCTTTTGGATCCTTATTTTTATCTTATTATTAACAATAATTCTCTGCTTAACACTTTATAATTGACAGTCTACTTTCACAGCTATTACCTCACAAAAACCGGTGAAGTTGATATGATTTCTGTTTGTTGTTTTTATCAGATGAAAAAACAATGACTTAGAAAGATAATCACTGTAGCTTGTCAAATACACCCAGCTAATAATTGCTGGATAACGCTGCTTTTATTTAGATGACAAAGCTGCTTTCCGTTCTTCCGGGGATAAGTAAGGATTTGAATCAGTAGTGGAGCAAGACCTGGGAGTCAAACTGGTTTCTCTAATCCGGTGTTCTTTTTCTACACTACACTGCATGTATTTGTTCACTTTTGTGATGAGAGGAGGGATAAGGAGCCTTTTCAGTTCCTCTTGCATTACTGACAAAGAATATGCTTCCCCCAACCTAAGCCAGGCCCTGGTGATATACGCCTTTTTCCTTCTTCAGGAGCCAGATGGGGGGCTGGTTGTATTGAGTGGAGGGGGCACCTCTGGCCGGATGGCATTCCTCATGTCGGTGAGCACCCTGGTCCCTGGTTTTCTTCCCTCTCCACTTCTTGAGGTGACCCTCAGGACCATAAAGATCACCATAACTGAGCTCCCAGGGCCCCCCCTCACTAGACCAAGCGTGGCTCTCTCTCTCTTCCAAAAGCTAGGCATCACCCTGAAGTCCCATTTCTTCTGAGCCCATCTGAGTCCCACCAGTCTGTTGTCAATGTCTCTACATCCCATGCACTGCCAACTAATCATCCCCAAGTGGCAGCTTTAAGCGCCAGATTCCATGTAGGACTGGGTTAAGCACTGGTCTAAGAGAATCGTTATATAGTCTCTGTCCTCTAGGAGTTGAAAATCCAAGATAATTGTTTCTTCTCTGTCATTACCCCTTCACATCCTCTCTCCTTGACAGGTGTCCTTTAATCAGCTGATGAAAGGTCTGGGACAGAAACCTCTTTACACCTACCTCATTGCAGGGGGTGACAGGTAAGCCAAGTTAGGCTGTGAATATTTTGTTTGGCCTGAATAGCGCTTCTTAGAAATTGAGTTGAATGCCTTTAGGCAGAGATTGAGTCCAGCTTGCCTTAGTTCCCCCATTCCTTATTGCCTTACACTTGGTCCACTTTACATACTTATGTCACCTGACCGGCTGTTGCAGGTATTTGGGTTATTTGGGGATTTTCAACTCTGTGGAGTGTCTATCATGGTGCCCAACAAACAGTGGGTGCTCACTCAATGATAGTTTTCCCTTTATTCCCATCTCTTAATGTAGCCTGCCCTAATAAACCATAGGCTTCTGCTTCCCAACCAGTGCCACTGACCTCGAGTCTGTCCTCTTAGGTCTGTGGTGGCCTCTAGGGAGGGGACGGAAGATAGTGCCTTGCACGGGATCGAGGAACTGAAGAAGGTCTGTGCTTCCCACTGATACTTGACCAGAGACCTCTATCTGTTCCTTCTCATGGGGACATAAAACCCCCAGCATTCAACCAAAGCCTATTCCCTCCCTCCCCTGTTCCTGGCCCTGATACCCTCACACAGTAGGTTTGTGCCTGGAATACTCCCAGTTACACTGTGTTGTCCATCCTCCTCTCCCAGGTGGCTGTCGGGAAGAAGAGGGTGATTGTCGTTGGCATTTCTGTGGGACTCTCTGTGAGTAGAATGAATTTTACTCACAGAGAGTAAGGTTGAGTGGATGAATTTTAGAGAGAAGAAGTGAGTGGGAATGGAAGAGCATGGAAGAGAGATCAATGAGGTGGGTGCTAGAAAGCAGGAAGTTTGCTCAAGGAATTTTGGTTTTCGTTTCACTAACTTGGATTGAATTGTAAGAATGTGGGAAGATGGGAAGGGATTCTATTTCAGAATAACTGCATCAATCAATCAGCAACCAAGAGAGGTGGACTAGCCCAGGGGTAAGTGAACTATACTGGCTGGCCAATGCAGCCAGCTGCCTGTTTTTTAAAATACATTTTTTTGTTTGTTTGTTTGAGATGGAGTCTCGTTTTGTCACCCAGACTGGAGTGCAATGGCATGATCTTGGCTCACTGTAGCCTTCACCTCCCAAGTTCAAGCGGTTCTCCTGCCTCAGCCTCCAGAAAAGCTGAGATTATAGGTGTCCACCACCATACCCGGCTAATTTTTAGATTTTTAATAGAGACAGGGTTTCACCATGTCGTCCAGGCTGATCTCGAACTCCTGACCTCAAGTGATCTGCCCGCCTCAGCCTCCCAAAGTGGTGAGATTACAGGCATGAGCCACAGTGCCCAACCCTAAAATAAAGTATTTTTGTGTATTTTTTTTTTTTGAGATGGAGTCTCCCTCTGTCTCCCAGGCTGGAGTGCAGTGGCACGATCTTGGCTCACTGTAGTCTCCACCTCCTGGGTGAAGTGATTCTCCTGCCTCAGTCTCCCAAGTAACTGGAATTACAGGCACATGCCACCATGCCTTGATAATTTTGTATTTTTAGTAGAGACAGGGTTTCACCATGTTGGCCAGGCTGGTCTTGAACTCCTGACCTCAATTGATCTGCCCACCTTGGCCTCCCAAAGTGCTGGGTTTATAGGCACGAGCCACCGTGTCCAGCCCCTAAAATAAAGTTTTGTTGGAACACAGCTATTTTTGTTTACATATAGTCTAGGGCCTCTTTCATGCTATAGCCATAGGGCTGAGTAGTTGGACAGAGACCATAAGGCCCAAAAACCCTAAAGTAGTTACTATCTGGCCTTTTACAGAAAAATATGGGCCCTGGACTAGTCCCTCACTACTTACAGTGTGGTGCCTGTACCAGCAACATCAGTGTCACCTGAGACTTGTTAGAAATGCAAAATCTCAGGCCCCATCCCAGACCTACTGAGTATTTTAGCAAGATTACCAGGTAGTTTGAGAAGCACTGAGCTGGAAGACTCCCAAGTTTCCTCTCAATTCTGCAGCTCTCTGGCTCTAAGAATTCACTGAGCGGAAACTAGATCCCCAGTGTTATATATGGAAGGAAACACACAAAGAGAAGAGGATACTGACTTCAAAGAGCTTACAATTTAGTTCAGTAGTATTCCAACTTTACCATGTAGATTTCCTTGGAGGACTTGTTAAAAATGCACCTCCTTCAAATTTGGATCCAGTAGATTGTAACTGTGCCCAGGAATTCGCATTTTGAACAATCATTCTGAAGGATTCTGCTGCACTTGAGCCTCGGGCACCACTCAGAGTAATGACCCCCTCATCATGCTCTTCTCTTTCTTCACCATCAGGCTCCCTTTGTGGCAGGCCAGATGGACTACTGCATGAACAACACAGCTGTCTTCTTGCCAGTCCTGGTTGGCTTCAATCCAGTGAGCATGGCCAGGTGAGGCTTCTGGAATGACTGGCCCAGCCCTGGGGCAGGCTGGAAGGGAACATGTCAAAGTCTATAGTACAACCATAAGGGAGAAAATGATAAATATACTCTTGTTCACCAAATCTCAGAATATTAAATATGGAGTGCCCCTAAGCTTACAAGGTTTTTTTGTTGGTTAAGTTATTGTCTTCTTGCTTCAGAAAGGATTAAAGGCCACTTATAAAGGATGCATAAAGTATAAGATAGCTTACATTCAAAACAGGGATTTAAGAGGCAAGAAAACAAGAGATAAAATGGGGTCAGGAAGATGCATACCACAGAGATTTGTGCTTTCATTTGGGGGTGAGCTCCAAGCACCTTTTCAAAGTAGCAGTAGTGGGTGCTAGATGGCTCCCTACTCTTCTTTGTCCAGCTCCCTTATTTGGTGCCCATTCTCTCTCATCATTCCTGGCACCCCTTTGCTCCCCCGAGGCTCCTCAGATCTCTCACCCTCTTCCCTTCCCTGAGAGCCCTTCATTCCCAAATCACCTCCCTCTTATATTTTCTATGTCAGTAGTCACTCTGATCTCAGAATAAGTCAATACATCAAACCAGTAGTGCTCAGATGTGGTTCTGTGCATGAGCTGCCTGGGGAATGTTACAAAAAAATAAAGAAGATTCTTAGTTCCTTGTGTAAGAGGTCTGATTTTGTAGGTTTGGAGTAAGGCCCTGAAGTATCTATTTTTTGAAAGCATCCCTGGAGATTCTGATGCACAGCCAGGTTTGGGGAACTCTGCTAAATAAACCATTGGAGTGGGCCACCTGACAAAGCTGAGGGCTTCCTGACACGAGAGGGATGCGGCAGAGGCTTGTTGATGATTTTAGAGCAGCTTTTTGTATTTAGCGGTGGTCTTGGAAAGGGGGACAAGAGGGTTTTTCGAAGGTGCTTTTTCACCTCCCAGATTCTAGGCTGTAGTATAATTCATGCGAAGGTGTAAATGAATCTGAAATACCCTAACCCTGATCCTTTTCATGGAGGGCCCTCCTTCACCAAAAATGTATCTGCTGCAGTGCATGCTAATTTCAGGCCCTATGACTAAGTGAAATGAAGAATTTCAAACAGTGTAGGCGTGGAGATCTTCCAGTTGTTCCTTAAATCAGTGGCTCCCAAACTTGGCTGATTTTCAGAGTCATCTGGAAAGCTTTTTAAAAATGCAGATTTTTGGGCTCCACTCCAGAACAACTGAATCTGAATCTTAGGGTGGATGTGGTACCCAGAAATGGATAGTTATTAAAAAACAAAACTCCCCAGATGATTTGGATGCCCAGCTGTGTTTAGGAATCTAGACGTTAAACCATATAATATAAACCCTGTCTCTGCTTTCTGCTTTAGTTTCCTCTTTCTTAGATCTCTAGCAAGTTTCAGAAATAGTTTGAGGACAAATGACAGGAGACATTTTACACAACGGGCATGAAATATGTGAAAGTCGTCTGCCCTAGAAGTGATACAAAAATAGTTCAAGAAGGAATGGAAACTTTGCAGGACGGGATGATAAGGCAAAATTTGGGGTGCCATGTACAGAGGTAGCTAACTCTTTGAGGTCCTGCCATAATGGGTGATTCACAAATTATCCCCTAGCAAAGCCATTAGAAATCAACTAAAGAAGATCCTCATTCTTTGAGATTCCATGATTTGTAACTAAGCAGATAACAAGTCTGCCTCATTAACACATTGATTTGTTCCTGATTAATTCATTCAAGGAACGTTTGACAACCGTGAGGCGCTACACCTACCTTGCAGCTTGGTTCCCTCACTGTCATCCCTCCCTCCATTACTAGGGGTTCACTCTTTGGAGGGATTTCCAGAACGTATTTCCATGAATGGCAAGGGCTTCTGATGGACCCTAAGATGGAAAATAAGGTGGCAACTTTGATATTTGAATGACAGGCATTCCCTAACGGGCCTGCAGAGGGTGAGGTTAGTGTGGCCATGGCATTGGGGATTATGCAAGACAGTCTGGGTCTCAGGCTGGAACTTTAAACTTGAGTGTTGGCTTTGCTCTGGGCTTGAGGTGCTGAATGTTTTATTAACCCCCGTCCTTGGGGTTCAGGAACACAGTGCCTCTAAAAGCTCCAAAGCATACGTCTGTGTGAAGTTGTTGACCTCTGACCTCAATCCCAAAGCAGTCCTTGATCATGACTCCCAGCTGAGGCCCTTCTTTGAAATCCTCATAGACAATCTCCCCACCTTGTGTCTCTCTGGACCCCAGAAATGACCCCATTGAAGACTGGAGTTCAACATTCCGACAAGTGGCAGAGCGGATGCAGAAAATGCAGCAGAAACAGAAAGCTTTTGTGCTCAATCCTGCCATCGGGGTAGGGCTTCTCCTTTTCCTATGTTCTCCAACCCGCCAACACCTGGGAACTGCTTGCGACTTCCTTGGGGCCTCTGATTTTAGGTTCTGTTACATCTTGTTTAAATTCCTGAGGCATTGTGAGTCAGCTAAGATGTTATAAAGCAAATCCTATTTTCCCATTTACTTTTTCACCTTAAGATATTTCATCTTAATTCCAACCCTGTCTCTCAAATGCATAATCATTAAACACTTTAGTGGTCTGGGGCAGTTTCTGTTTAAAGAAGCTCTTTGCCATCTATGTATAGACAGCGTTGAATAGCCACGGTTATGTCTGTCTATCTGTCTTACATATTTACATTTTAAATATGGGCTTTAAAAAATGGGGTGCAGTTTTGTTTCATTCTGCCTTCTAAATCCTCTCCAAAATTGGCTGGTCCTTCTTAGCTTGAAAGCTGTTTTCTCCTGTTTCTTTTTTCTCATCTGGATTGCGGATACATTTCACTAGCACCATTTCTCCTCACTTGGGCCTTAGGAGGGCCTTAGCCAAATTCCGCCCGGTGCCTCCCTCTACCAGTGATGGCCATGTGATCTGAGACATTCTCCTCCATCTTCCTTTTGTGAGATAGGAAGGTAGAATTCCGTATGATGTAAGAATTCCATAGTTTTGACCTCCCAAATACTCGTCTCTCTTTCCTCCTCTCTGCAAATGTTGACTTTCAATCTTCTTTTCTCATTATTACTGTTATCATTCTGTTTGCCGGAATCTCTTTGCTGTCCGGTGTGCTGTGTTCCACATCTGGACCCCTGCAAGAGCTGCTTCATCGGTCTGTCCAAAGCATATGACATGTGGTATTTGGATTGATAAACTACCACAGAAAATGGTGGAGGTGAGGGAGGTGGGGGAGAAATTTCTTGGAAAGAAAAGCACTCTCTGGGCTGAGTGTGATGGCTCATGACTGTAATACTAGTATTTTGGGAGGCCAAGGCAGGCAGATCACTTAAGGTCAGGAGTTCGAGACCAGCCTGGCCAAGATGGTGAAACCACATCTCTACTAAAAACACAAAAACTAGCTGGGTGTGTTGGCAGGTTCCTGTAATCCGAGCTACTCAGCAAGCTGAAGCAGGAGAATCTCTTCAATTTGGGAGGCAGAGGTTGCAGTGAGCCAAGATTATACCACAGCACTCCAGCCTGGGCGGCAGAGCAAGACTCCATCTTAAAAAAAAAAAAGAAAGAAAAGGAAAGCACTTTATGAAAAACCCTTGACCCAGCTGTCAAGAGACCCAATCACTGTGACTTCCTCCCCAGAGAGTCCTAAATATATACTCAGGAATGACCAGAGCAGGCCTTTTCCCTCTTTCCAATCTTCCTCTTAGTCAAGCCCACCCCAGTACCCTTCCTCACAGGCACACTGGGGGCCAGCAGTACCATCACATACACGCCTGGGGGTCACTAACAAGCGGTCTCTGAAGTCTTCAACCTCTCCCAATTCCTCTTGGGTGTCTTCACGTCATTCAGCCTGAGGGACTCAGCGGCTCCTCCCGGATGAAAGGTGGAAGTGCCACCAAGATCCTGCTGGAAACCCTGTTATTAGCTGCCCATAAGACTGTGGACCGGGGCATTGCAGCATCTCAAAGGTAGGGAGGATCTGGACAAGAGAGAGCTCAGTCAGGTGAGTGTGAGATGGTGTGGATGGGGAATGGCAGGTCTAGACCCAAGGACTGGGCTGGTGGCAGTAAGACTGCAGCCCACCACGCCTCCCCTGAGAAAGGAGCTGGTGGGGACGTGCTGTTGCTCCCACCACATAGTCGCAGAGTCTAGATTGTCTCCAGCGGATCCTGGATTCCTCAGGTCCAGACCTAATCCCTGAGCCTACCTGGAACCTCCAAAGCCAGCCTGGCTCCCAAGGGCCCTTTGATTTGTGGGGTGGTCCAGGTCATGCAGGTAGAGCTCATCCTACTATGGGCCAGCCTCCCTCTCTAGGTTCTCTAGCCTCATTCCCAGGCTGTTCACTCCCCTTCCCAGTGGTTCTCAGATCCTGCTCCTCCTGGTACCCTCCTGATGCCCTCGTCCCTCTTTCTGCTCTTTTGTTTTCTGCCCACTGAGTCCCTTGCTGCACCCCCTGAACACAGTCTGGCCCTACTCTCTGCACCTCTCCAGGGACCAGAAGAACTTAGTTCTAAGGGAGCTATGCCTTCGCCTCCCTCCTCAGGGAGGCACCCAGTCTTTCTGAGAGGCATTGGGCCCTTCCTGGGAACTGGTGGCTTTTCTCCCAGATGCCTCCTGGAAATCTTGCGGACATTTGAACGGGCTCATCAGGTGACCTACAGCCAAGGCCCCAAGATTGCCACCTTGATGAAGCACGTCAGCGCCAGGTGTGTGGATATGTGTTTAGAGGTGGGGATGTGGCCCAGGTGAAGAATACCAAGAGCAGGGAGACTCTCTGAGACATGTTAACATGGTGCGGGTGATGGGATTGCATGTTGAAGGGTCATGGTGTGTTGACTCCTGTGCTCTTCTGTGTGCATCTCTGGCCTCTTTTCACTGTAATCTCTCATGTTCTAACCTCTGACCCATTCTCAGTCTGGAGAAGAAAGGCCATGTGTACTTGGTTGGCTGGCAGACCCTGGGCATCATTGCCATCATGGATGGAGTAGAGTGCATCCACACCTTTGGCGCTGGTGGGACCCCAGTCCAAATGTTCTTCCTGCTTCCTCCTGATCACAACCAATCGGGCTGCTCCCCAAACACTGACCTACTCCCAACCCATGGGTGTTTGTCAGTGTCCCTCCTGCCCTATCTAAATAGGCACTTCAGTCAAATTCTTCTTCCTTCAAACCCCAACTCAGTCCTTGATCCCTTCTTAGCTCCCACCCCTGTGCTTAGCTGCAGCTTCCCTCATGGGTTACTCCTCACTCCCCACTTACCACTTTTCCTCCCAGTCCCACTGACTCCCCCTGAAGACTAGAAACGTCCTTTCCTATAAAGCCAATCTTTCCTCTCTACTTGTTCTTAAACCTCCCAGATTTCCAAGATGTCCGTGGCTTTCTCATTGGTGATCACAGTGACATGTTTAACCAGAAGGCTGAGATCACCAACCAGGTTAGAGAAGAACAGGACTTGGGGAAGTTGGGCAGATCACTGGTGTGCTGAGGGTGGAAGCAAAGGGGAAGGTGGAGCTAGGTGGGGAGTTCATTGGAATAGATAATCCAGAGAAATGGCCGGGCATGGTAGCTCACTTTGGGAAGCCAGGGTGAGCGGATCACAAGGTCAGGAGTTTGAGACCAGCCTGGCCAACATGGTGAAACCCTGTCTCTACTAAAAATACAAAAAGATCCAGGAGTAGTGGCGGGCACCTGTAGTCCCAGCTACTGAGGAGGCTGAGGCAGGAGAATTGCTTGAACCGGAAGGTGGAGGTTGCAGTGAGCCGAGATTGTGCCACTGTGCTCCAGGCTGGGTGACAGAGTGAGACTCTGTCTCAAAAAAAGAAAAAGAAAAAGAAAAAAAAAAAACATAGTCCAGAGAAGAGAATATGGCTCAGAAGTCATGAGGCTTTTGGGGGTAGCATGGGGAGTGTGGAAAGCTCTAGATCCAATCCCCGAACCTGGCCCTAGTCCACTGACTTGCTACGTCATCTTGGGCAAAACACTGTACCTTTTAGAACCTCTGCTTTTTTACCTGTAGACAAAAGTGTTAGATCTTGAGTCTGTGCTTTAAAGTGTTTTCATGGGAGGGACTCTCCCATCTTCTTCTGCCCCAGGGTCCCCAGTTCTCCTTCTCCCAGGAGGACTTCCTGACTTCCATCCTGCCCTCCCTCATGGAAATTGACACTGTGGTCTTCATTTTCACCCTGGATGGTAAGAGGAAAGATGGGAGTGGTGAGGGGAGCGGAGAGGGGAAGTAGAATGACTCAGAGGCACTGTTAATTTTCTGGGTCTTTTGGTACCTGCTCAGAGGGAGGGATAGGGTGAATATCCTGACTGGACCCCAACCAGGGGAGCAGGAGGAACAGCTGCACAGTCAGCCTTTTGACTCCAATGCCCTCCTTCCTGATTTCCTGATGTCCTTTGACTCTGATATCTTCCTTCCTAGACAACCTCATGGAGGTGCAGACTATAGTGGAGCAGGTGAAAGACAAGACCAGCAACATCCAGGCCCTGGCACATAGCACCGTGGGGCAGTCCTTGCCGGTGAGAGTCCAGCCGTGATGAGGGGACCCAGGCGGCACTTACAGCCAGGTCTTCCTGGAGATGCCGTTCCTGCTCCTCTTTCTCTCTCTCCAGATTCCTCTGAAGAAGCTCTTTCCCTCCATCATCAGCATCACATGGCCACTGCTTTTCTTTGACTATGAAGGGAACTTCATCCAGGTATGGGGAATGGGAAGGTCTTATCTGCATTGAGAGGCTGGGAGGGAGAGGGATTCCAGGAATCAGAAAACCCAAGGCTGGAGGATAGAAAGCTCGGAGACCTCTCTGATCTTCACAAAGCCAGCTAGGAAAGGTCATGGGTTACCAGGTAACTAGTCAGAGTTCTCAAGGCAATGAACTACTAGGCTCAGCTGTTTCTAGGAATATGCAAAAAGTGCAGGATAGGCCACCAGTCATCTGACAGGTGTTCATTTGTCCTTCAGGACAGGTTAATTCTTTTTTTTTTTTCTTTGACACAGAGTCTTGTTCTGTCACCAGGCTGGAGTGCAGTGGTGCAATCTTGGCTCACTGCAGCCTCTGCCTCCTGGGTTCAAGTGATTCTCGTGCCTCAAGCAGCTGGTACTAAAGGCACGTGCCACCACGCCCCGCTAATTTTTGTACTCTTAGTAGAGACAGGCTCTTCCCATGTTGGCCAGGCTGGTCTTGAACTCCTGATCTCAAGTGATCTGCCTGCCTCAGCCTCCCAAAGTGCTGGGATTACAGTAGTGAGCCACCACACCCAGCCTGGTTTTATCTTTCTAAATGAATTGGACTTGTTTGAAATAAAGAGGCTTTATTTGGTCTGGTCAATCTTTAGCTATAGAAATATTTTCGTGGTGGTTCATGACTTTATTCCCAGCACTTTGGGAGGCCAAGGCAGATGAATCACCTAAGGTCGGGAGTTTGAAGCCAGCTTGGCCAACATGGTGAAACCCTATCTCTATTAAAAATATGAAAAAATTACCTAGGCATGGTGGCAGGTGCCTGTAATCTCAGCTACTCTGGAGGCTGAGGCAGGAGAATTGCTTGAACTCGAGAGGCAGAGGTTGCAGTGTGCTGAGAATGTGCCGTTGTACTCCCGCCTGGGCAACAAGAGTGAAACTCTGTCTCAAAACAAACAAGCAAAGTAAATAAATATTTTTGATGGAAACTGTTTCTACACTTTTATTTATTTATATTTTTATTTCTTGCCCTCCAAAGTGACAGTTGATATACTTTTATTTTGATAAAATTCAAACCTACAGAAAAATACAAGAATGGTGCAAGAATGCCCATATTCTTTTCCCTAGATTCATCAATCATTAACATTTTGCCATATTTGCTTCATCTCTTTCTTTTCTCCTGAATTATTTGAAATATAATTGGAGCTGGGTGCGGTGGCTCATGTCTGAAATCCCAGCACTTTGGGAGGCTGAGGCAGGCGGGTCACGAGGTCAGGAGTTTGAGACCAGCCTGACCAACATGGTGAAACCCTGTCTCTACTGAAAATACAAAAATTAGCTGGGCATGGTGGCACACACCTGTAATCCCAGCTACTCAGGAGGCTGAGTCAGGAGAATTGCTTGAACCTGGGAGGTGGAGGTTGCAGTGAGCCGAGATCATGCCACTGCACTCCAGCCTGGATGGCAGAGTGAAACTCCATCTGAAAAAAAAAGTTCCAGGCATAGTGGCTCACACCTGTAATCTCAGCACTTTGGGAGGTCAAGGCAGGTGGATCACAAGGTCAAGAGTTTGAGATCAGCCTGGCCAACATGGTGAAACCCCGTCTTTACTAAAAATGTCAAAATTAGCCACGCATGGTGGTGCATGCTTATAGTCCCAGCTACTCGAGAGGCTGAGGCAAGAGGATTGCTTGACTCTGGGAGGCAGGAGGTTGCAGTGAGTCAAGATGGTGCCACTGCACTCCAGCCTGGGGACAGAGTGAGACTCCGTCTCAAAAAAAAAAAAAAAAAAAAAAAAAGATAACTGGAGATACTGCAATATGTCATACTAATCACTTGGCATATTTCCTCTAAAAACAAGGGCATTCACTACATAATTAAAATACAATTTTCCATTCAGGAAAATGACAATTAGTATAATACTATTATCTATTATCCAGACTATATTCAGTTTTCCCAAGTACTCCTGTATTGTTTTTATTTCCCAGATCGAGGATTCAATCAAGGATAACGCACTGTATTCGGTTGTCACGTCTTTTGGTTTTCCTTTATTCCAAATGAGTTTCTCGGTTGTTGTTTTTTAAATCTTTCATGACATTGATATCTTAGAAGTCCAGGCCAATTGTCTTCCAGAATTTGCCTCACTTTGGATTTGCCTGATTATTTCTTCATTATATTCAGGTTAAATTTTTTGGCAGGAGTACTGCATAGGGGAGGTGTGCCCTTATCAGTGTATCACATCAAGGAGGCACCTGATGTCTGTTTGTCCCTTTATTGGTGATGCAACATTCGATCATTTGGCTAAGAAGGTGTCTGTTAGATTTCTCTTTATTCTATTCCTCAGCAATCTTTCACCCAATGATTTTAGCATCCACTGATGATTCTTGGTTGAATCAATTATTACTATGGTAGTTTTTAAATGGTGATTTTCTGTTTCTGTTCTTTCCATCTCTATTCAGTAGTTGGCATTCTTCTGTAAAGAAAATCTTTCTCAGCCGGGTGTGGTGGCTCACATCTGTAATCCCAGCACTTCAGAAGGCCAAGGCAGGTGGATCACTTGAGGCCAGGAGTTTGAGGCCAGCCTGTATTACATGGCAAAAACCCATCTCTACTAAAACTACATAAATTAGTGGGGTGTGGTGGCGTGCACCTGTAGTCCCAGATACTTGAGAGGCTGAGTCAGGAGAATCAGGCTTGAACTGGGAGGCAGAGGTTGCGGTGAGCCGAGATCATGCACTTGCACTCCAGCCTGGGTGACAGAGCAAGACTCTGTCTCAAAAAAATTATATTAATAAAATAAAATTAAAAATGTTTTTTTCCTCTCTCCACCCTATCTACCCTATCTATCTTTATTTTTTAGTGTCAATATGGACTCATGAATTTTTTGTTGTTGTTAAATGTGTTTTAATCCATTCTTCTTCTTATTCATTATTTATTTGAATGCTCAAAATGAGAGCTCATTCACGCTGGATCCTGTGTCCTTGTGATATATCCACATCAGTGTCCTTGTGATATATCCACAACTCATTGTTGTGTTTCTTTTTGCAAAATAATAATAATAATACCCTTCTTATGCAAAAGGTAGCATCTTTCTTACATCTTGCATTTTTTGCTTAAGATATTCTGAAAATCACTACAGTGCAGTTATTAGATATCTTCCTCATTATTCCTTATTTGCGTGTGTGTGCGTGTGTGTGTAACAATAGTTTGCCCGGTCAATCTCCTATGCAGGAACACAAAACCGTCGTCCCAGGCTCACCTATACTTTCCGTGGTCCAGCCCTGGAGTTAGTCATTTTTCTGAGGAGCCCTTGTTCTTGTTAGTGGGGTCTAGTATTTAGAAACCTAAATGCTAGGGATGTTCACTGCTACTGGTGTGTCTTTGCCTCTGAGCCGTATCAGTAGAAGGAACAAGGGTGTGCGTATGTGTGTGTTTATGTATATACACACGCATATATATACACATATGCCTATGTATATTTGTTTACATACAGTGAATGTGTGTGCACATATATATACACATACATTTATATATACCTAAATATACGATATATATATTCCCACTCTTCTTCCCCTTTCCCTTAGTGATAATGTTGATTTCCAACATCATCAGTGTTTTTGCTGTCTCATTCCATTTCCATTCATGCCTGTAGGGAATGTGTTTAATTAGTTACTGGTTCATCCTCCTATGTTTCTTTTTGGGGAAAAAAAGTGTGCAAACACATATAGTTTGCACTTCTTTCTTATTCAAAAGGCAGTAGAGTATACTCTTGTGCTTTAAGACGATATTCTGAAAATCATTCTATATTGGCTTATAGACTCTTCCTCATTAATGTTTACCTTTGTGTGTTTCCACATATATAATAGTTTACTCAGGCAATCTCCTATGTAGGACATTTAGGTTTCCCATATTTGCTGTTATCAATCATGATGTAATGAAGGTGCATGTATTTTTGTAATGTTAGAAGTATATCTTTGGGGTAAATTTCTAGAAATATTGGAGCTGGGTCAAAGGGTACATACATATGCCATTTTGTTAGATATTGCAACATTTCCTTCCATTGGGTTTACTATTTTTCTTTCCATATCAGCAATATACAAGAATGCTGCTCTCCTACAGCCTTTTTGAGAGTTCCGTGAAGCTCTTGAATTTTGCCAATCTGATAGATTAGAAATGCCACTGTGTAGTATTTATTTATTTCATACTATTATTATTATTATTATTATTATTATTATTATGGAGTCTTGCTCTGTCATCCAGGCTGGAGTGCAGTGATGTGATCAGATTTCCCTGCAACCTCAAACTCCTGGGCTGCAGAAATCATCCTGCTTAGCCTCCCAAGTAGCTAGGATTACAGGAATAGGCCACCATGCCTGGCTAATTAAAAAAAAATTTTTTTTGGCCCGGCGAGGTGACTCACGCCTATAATCCCAGCACTTTGGGAGACTGATGCGGGTAGATCACGAGGTCAAGAGATCGAGACCATCCTGGTCAACAAGGTAAAACCCCGTCTCTACTAAAAATACAAAAATTAGCTGGGCATGGTGGTGCACGCCTGTAGTCCCAGCTACTCGGGAGGCTGAGACAGGAGAATTGCTTGAACCCAGAAGGCAGAGGTTGCAGTGAGCCGAGATCGTGCCATTGCACTCCAGTCTGTGTAACAACAGTGAAACTCCGTCTTAAAAAAAAAAAAAAAAAAAAAATTTTTTTTTTGTAGTGACAAGGTCCTGCTATGTGTTGCACAGGCTGGTTTCAAATCCCTGGCCTCAAGCAATCCTCCTACCTCCCAAAGAGCCGGGATTACAAGCCTGAGCCAGCATGCCTGGCTCCAATATAATTTTTTAAAGTCCATCTTTTCCTGAGTGCTTCAGGATGCTACCTGTATCATATACTCAATTTCTATGTGCACTGGTCTATTTCTGGACTTTCTATTCTGTTCTGTTGGTTTGTCTATTGATGTGCTAGTACCACATGTTTTAATTATAGAGGCATTATGGTATGTTTAATAGCCAATAGAGTTAGTTCTTCATTCTTCTTCTTTTTTTTTGAGATGGAGTCTCATTCTGTCACCCAAGTTTGAGTGCAATGAAGCGATCTCAGTGCACTGCAACCGTCACCCCCTCTACTTCAACCGATTCTCTTGCCTCCGCCTCCCAAGTAGCTGAGATTCCAGGTACATATCACCATGCCAGGCAAATTTTCTTTTGTATTTTTAGTAGAGATGGGTGTGAAACACCACACCTGGCCTATTCTTCTTTTTAAGGATTTTCCTGGCTATAATTCCTGGCTGATTTTTTTCCATATGTACTTTATTTTTATTTGTTTATTTATTTATTTTTTGAGATGGAGTTTTTGCTCTTGTTACCCAGGCTGGAGTGCAATGGCGCAATCTTGGCTCACCACAACCTCCGCCTCCTGGGTTCAGGCAATTCTCCTGCCTCAGCCTTCTGAGTAGTTGGGATTACAAGCATGCACCACCATGCCCAGCTAATTTTTTGTATTTTTAGTAGAGACAGGGTTTCACCATGTTGACCAGGATGGTCTTGATCTCTTGACCTTGTGATCCACCTGCCTTGGCCTCCCAAAGTGCTGGGATTACAGGCTTGAGCCACCGCGCCCAGCCCATATGTACTTTAAAATGAACATGTCTCACTCCAAATTATGTAAAATTTAAAATATTTTTGTGTTAATGATGTTAATGTTAGTGGTATAAATGGTGTGTGGTATAACCCGGATCTAACTGACCTCTCTCCTAAAGTGCAGTCTAACATACATTCTATAGCATCAGTACTGCATACTTACTGTTGAGTTTCATGCTGAAATTGGTCAAATACCTGTTCTACACTCAGTGTCCTGGTAATTCACTTGTTGAAATGTTTTCAGCATACCCTCTTCCAGGGTTTTGTGTGACCAGCTATTTCTAGAGTTACAGAATAAAGAGGTAAAAGTAGCAGTAATTTGTTTCCTCAGCCCGGCTAGGACCAAGTGTATTAGCCCATTTTCATACTGCTCTAAAGAACTGCCCAAGACTGGGTTATTTGTTTATTTATTTTTTGAGATGGAGTCTCACTCTGTTGCCCAGGCTGGAGCGCAGTGGTGTGATTTCAGCTCACTACAACTTCCGCCTCCCAGGTTCAAGCAATTCTCCTGCCTCAGCCTCCCAAGTAGCTGGGATTACAGGCACCTACCACCACGCCTGGCTAATTTTTGTATTCTTAGTAGTAGAGACAGGGTTTCACCATGTTGGCCAGGCTGGTGTCAAACTCTTGACCTTGTGATCGCCTGCCTCGGCCTCCCAAAGTGCTGGGATTACAGGTGTGAGCCACCGTGCCCAGCAAGACTGGGTAATTTATAAGGAAAAGAGGTTTAAGTGACCCACTATTAGGCATGGCTGGGGAGGCCTCAGGAAACTTATGATATGGCAGAAGGTGAAGGGGAAGCAAGACATCTTTACAAGGCGGCAGAAAGGAGAGTGCTGAGTGAAGGGAGAAGAGCCCCTTATAAAACCACCAGATCTCGTGAGAACTCACTCACAATCACAAGAACAGCATGGCCCAACCCCCCCTCCCAACTCCATGATTCAATTACCTCCACCTGGTCTCTCCTTTGACACATAAAGATTTTGGGGATTACAATTCAAGATGAGATTTGGGTGAGGACACAAAGCCTAACCACATCACCAATTAATTAATCCCCTCAACACCTTTACGGGACCCTTGTTTCCCTGCTAATGTGCCAATAGGTGTTATAAGTGCCTAAGTGGACAAGCTATCAGGGCCAAAAACAGGTGGCAGTTTTATACTCATGATATCACATGTTTGTATAACTTTTTAGTTTTCAACATGTCTTCACATAGGTTCTCTCATTCATCTAGGAGATATTTGTGGCAAAGTAGGAAAGGCCCTCGTCATTGAATCAGAACACCTGGATTTAGGTCCTCATTCTGCATCTCATTATCATATGAGCTTCTCCAAGTTAGTTTACTTCTGACCTCTTGTTTCCTCATATGTAGAAAAGAGGATAGATAAACGTATTCTATAGGGTTGTTACAAAAATTAAATAGAATTCATTTTTCAACAAACATTTTTTTTCCCCTGAGACACAGTCTCACTCTGATGCCCAGGCTGGAGCGCAGTGGCACAATCTTAGCTCACTGCAACCTCTGCCTCCCAGGTTCAAGAGATTCTTGTGCCTCAGCCCCCTGCCCCTGCCCAGTAGCTGGGACTACAAGTGTGTGCCACCACTCCCAGCTAATTTTTGTATTTTTAGTAGAGACAGGATTTCCTCATGTTGGCTAGGCTTATTGAGAACTCCTGACCTCAGGTGATCCGCCCACCTCGGCCTCCCAAAGTGGTGGGATTACAGGCATGAGCCACTGTGCTGGGCCTCAACAAATGTATTGATCAGCAACCATGTGTCAGTCATGGTCTAAAGGACTGGGACCCTGGAGCAGAATAAGACACCATCTCTGCCCTCTCAAGAAGCCTGTGGTTTAGTGGAATGAACCCCACTCTTCCTGTCTGATACCTGGGGAGAAAAAGGAAAGTTTGAGCAGGATCAAAATCCTACTGTGGAAAGACTCAGAGACCTTATCTGTCTACGTAGGGATCAAAACCACAAATAGGTGAAGCTATCAGGTTTGCCTGAGACAGTCCTGGTTTATATCTACTGTCCTAACATTTAAACCCTGGGCTGTTCAAACAAATTATGTCTGCATTCTGGTCCCTGGTTCTTGACAGTTGGTTTCCTGTGTGATATCAGGGCCCTGTTCGCTCTGCTGCTCTTCCGTCCTCTAATTTTTGACACCCCAATGTGTCTGCCCTTTTCAGAAGTTCCAACGTGAGTTAAGCACAAAATGGGTGCTGAATACAGTGAGTACAGGTGCTCACGTGCTTCTTGGTAAGATCCTGCAAAACCACATGTTGGACCTCCGAATTAGCAACTCCAAGCTCTTCTGGCGGGCACTGGCCATGCTGCAGGTAGGGATGTGAAGGGGCAGGGCTGGGTGGGGCCTGGCCTCAATGCTTAGGCTGCTAGAGGAGGGCATTTTGCAGAGGAAGGATACAGCCTGCCCTTTCTCCTGGGTGCTGTTCTTCCTATTAGGTGCATCTTTTCCTTAAGAAGTGTGTGTGTCCTGAAATACCATGGGGTAGGGGGAAGAAAGAAGTGTGTGTGCATGCATGTATGTGTGTTTGTGAAATGGTAATTATTAGGCAAGACTCTTTTGGTTACAAACGTGTGATGGAAAACCAGTTCATACTGGTTTAAGCTAAACAAGCAAAATGGCAGCTGATATAACTGAACAGTCTTAGGGCAGTTGAATCCATGTGCTCCAGAACTCTCTACCGTTAATTCTGCTTTCCTCTGTATTGCTCTCATTCTTTTTTTTCTTTTGAGATGAGGTCTTGCTCTATCACCCAGGCTGGAGTGCAGTGGCGTGATCTCAGCTCAGTGCAACCTCTGCCTCTGAGGTTCAAGTGATTCTTCTGCCTCAGCCTCCTGAGTAGCTGGGATTACAGGCACTTACCATCATGCCCAGCTAATTTTTGTATTTTTTAGCAGAGACAGGGTTTCGCCATGTTAGCCAGGCTGGTCTCGAACTCCTGACTTCAGGTGATCCACCCACCTCGGCCTCCCAAAGTGCTGGGATTACAGGTGTGAGCCACCATATCTACCGTTGCTCTCATTCTTAGCCAAGTTTTCTCCATTAGGTGGCAAAGTGGCCACCAGTAGTGCCCACCTGACATCCTACTAACTTAACAACACTAGTGGGCAAAGAATTTGTCTGTCCTGTGGTTCTTGGAAATACCTGGTCAGGGGCTCTGGCTTGGGTCACGTGCATGTCCCTGAAGCAATCACTGTTCTCCAGGGGAAGGGGTGCTCTGCCCAGTCTGGTTCATGTGCTTTCCCTTCAGGATGGTGGTGGAAGAAGGGCTGGGAGGTGAGCCTCAATCCAACCTCATTATCTGAGCATGGGGGAGCGATAGATTCCCAGAGGAAAACCAAGGTGCTGATACCAGAAGGAGGCGTGGATGTTGAGCAGACAGCACAACAGGTGGTCATGAAAATGGGGTTGCCAGAGTCAGCAAATAAAAATACAGGACACCCAGTTAAATTTGAATTTCAGATAAATAAGGAATAATTTTTTCATCAAATATGTCTTATGAAGTTTGAGACATTTTTGAATTTTTTTCATTATATATCTGGATGCCTGTATTTTTAGTCACAAAATCTGACAACCTTATGTGAAAGGAACCAATCAAAACATTTAATGAGCAACCACCAGGTCCCCAAAATAGCTATGGTATTTACTGATGTCTAGTGGAGGTACAAAGAAGGTGGGGTCGGTATGCATTCCAGCAAAAAGAAGGCCTCAGGGAAGATATTTGAGATAGGCCTGTTGGTTATAGCATGGATAGATGGACAGAAGGGCACTCCTGTGAGGGCATTCACCAAGTCCCAGAAGGTGGACTGGGCATGATATGTGAGGGACACAGGTCTGACCAGAGTGGAGAGTTATTTTAGAGCATAGTGAGGGATTATGAAGATGTAGGAAGGGAGGGATGTGGAAGCTTAAAGTCAGACAGGAGGCCGGGTGCGGTGGCTCACGCCTGTAATCCCAGCACTTTGGGAGGCTAAGGTGGATGGATCATGAGGTCAAGAGAACGAGACCATCCTGGCCAACATGATGAAACCCCATCTCTACTAAAAATACAAAAATTAGCAGGGTGTGGTGGCATGTGCCTGTAATCCCAGCTACTCAGGAGGCTAAGGCAGGAGAATTGCTTGAACCTGGGAGGCGGAGGTTGCGGTGAGCCGAGATCACGCCATTGCACTCCAGCCTGGGTAAGAAGAGCGAAACTCCGTCTCAAAAAAAAAAAAAAAAAAAAGCTAGACAGGAATTTGGACTTGCCAAATGCAGCTAGTCATGTGCTGTCCAAAGTACTGGCCTGGCCACCAGCCACATGTGGCTACTGAGCACTTGAAATATGGCTAGTGTGACTGAGGAACTGAATTTTTAATTTTATGTAAAAACCACAGCTGTATAATTTAAAAATTAAAAGTAACTTTAATGTTTTAGTAGAACTATGTTCTACTTTTTAGCATTGCAAATCTAGCACCTAAATTGAGGTGTGTTGGCTGGGTGTGGTGGCTCACACCTGTAATCCCAACATTCTGGAAGGCTGAAGAGGGCAAATTACTTGAGGTCAGCAGTTCGAGGCCAGCCTGGTCAACATGGTGAAACCCCATCTCTACTAAAAATAAAAAAAAAATAATAAATTAGCTGGGCATGGTGGCATATGCTAATATTCCTATCTATTGGGGAGGCTGAGGCAGGAGAATCACTTGAATCTGGGAGGTGGAGGTTGCAGAGAGCCAAAACAGCATCACCGCATTCCAGCCTAGGTGACAGAGTGAGATTCTGTTTCAAAAAAATAAAAGTAAAAATAAAGCCACACAAAAAAAAATTGATGTGTGCTATAATTGTAAAATACACACTGGATTTCAAAATACAAAATACAAATATAGAAAAATGTTGCAAAATATCTCACTAATAATGTTTCATATTGTTTACATTTGGTTATATATTGAGTTAAATAAAATATATTATTAAAATTAATTTCAGGCCGGGTGCGGTGGCTCATGCCTCTCTAATCCCAGCACTTCGAGAGGCTGAGGTGGGTGGATATCCTGAGGTCAGGAGTTTGAGACCAGCCTGGCCAACATGGCGAGACCCTGTGTCTACTAAAAATACAAAAATTAGCCAGACGTGGTGGTGCATGCCTCTAATCCCAGCTACTCAGGAGGCTGAGGCAGGAGAATCGCTTGAATCTGGTAGGCGGAGGTTGCAGTGAGCCAAGATTGTAACACTGCACACCAGCCTGGGTGACAGCATGAGACTCTGTCTCAAAAAAAAAAAAAAAAATTCTCCTGCCTCAGCATCCCAAGTAGCTGGGATTATGGCACGTGCCATCACACCCGGCTAATTTTTTTTGGTATTTTTAGTAGAGACCAGCTTTCATCATATTGGCCAGGCTGGTCCCAAACTCCTGACCTTGTGATCTGCCCACCTCTGCCTCCCAAAGTACTGGGATGAGCCACCGTGCCCAGTCAATTTAGCCTATTTCAATTTTTTTAACGCAGCTACTAAAAACTTAAACTTACATATGTGGTTTGCATTATATATTTTTCTTCATTTTAATTTTTTTAGAGACAGGGTCTCACTCTGTTACCCAGGCTGGAGTGCAGTGGTGCAATCATGGCTCACTGCAGCCTCAAACTCCTGAGCTCATGAAATCCTCCCACCTCAGCTTCCTGAGTAGTTGGGACAATAGGCAGGTGCCACCATGCCCACTAATTTATTTTATTTTTTGTAGAGATAGGGTCTTGCTATGTTGCCTAGGCTGGTCTCAAACTCCTGGGCTCAAGTGATTCTCCTGTGTTGGCCTCCCGAATTGCTGGGATTACAGATATGAGCCACCGTGCCCAGCCTTGCATTATATTTCTACTGGACAATGCTGAGCTAGACAAAGAGGAGGGTAGTGACAAAATGAAAGCAGTGTTTGCAGTCTTACACTAGTGTGCAAGATGGATTTGGTTAGGGAGGAAACTAGAGAGAGGGAGTCCAGATTACCAGCCTATGGGATTGATGGGCCACAGATGCAAATTTGACCAACTTGCCATTAATTCTCCAGTTTAACACAGCCAATCAAGGCCCACCACCAAGCCCTTTAACCCAGCTTTTCTTTACACCTGGGAATTATGAGTTTAGGATTGCCGACACGGACAAATCATCTATAGACTCTGCAGCCTCGGGATCCCAGCCTCCCACTCTCCCAGTTCATTCTTCTCCCTTGACTCCATTCTTAGTTTCTCTGGCCTTTAGCCTGACACTGATCTTACCACTTCTTCCATAGCGGTTCTCTGGACAGTCCAAGGCTCGATGCATCGAGAGCCTCCTCCAAGCAATCCACTTTCCCCAGCCACTGTCAGATGATATTCGGGCTGCTCCCATCTCCTGCCATGTCCAGGTTGCGCATGAGAAGGAACAGGTATCCTGCCTACTGCTGGTCATTCAGCAAATACTTTTTGAGTACTTTCAATGTGTCAGGAAGTTTGGCACTGGGTTTACAAAGCTCAATGGCACCCTGCTCACAAGGACTTCTGCTTTCATGGGGGAGACATGACTGTGACAAGTGGTCACTGAGGTGTTAAAAAGTACTACAGGGGCAGAGAAAAGGGGTCTTCTATTCTACCTAGGAGGGGAGTCAGGAAAGAGAGGGAGAAGGACTGGGTTTCAAAGGACAAATAGGAGTTTTCCTGGTCAAAGTGAAGGTTTCTCTCTGCTCTTAATTCACCTCCTTACCACTTTCTAGTCTTCATAACATCCTATTTTGCATCTAACCTAGTGGCTCCTGATTCCTACAGCAAATGCTTTAGCTCCTCCAGGGTATATATATGTTTTTTAGAGGGAGTCTTGCTCTGTCACTCAGGTTGCTGGCGTGCAGTGGTGTGATCTTGGCTTACTGCAACCTCTGTCCACTGACTGGATTCAAGCGATTCTCTTGCTTCAGCCTCCCAAGTAGCTGGGATTGCAGGTGCCAGCCACCAACACCTGGCTAATTTTGGTATTTTTAGTAGAGACGGGGCTTCGCCATGTTGGCCAGGCTGATCTCAAACTCCTGAACTCAAGCGATCTGCCCGCCTCCCAAAGTGTTGAGATTACAGGCGTGAGCCACTGCGCATGAACTTCCTCTGGGGTTCTTTCTCTGATGACCTCGTTTCCTCAGGCTTCAGGGCCCACTGCCTTTTCCCCACAGGTGATCCCCATCGCCTTGCTCAGCCTCCTATTCCGGTGCTCGATCACTGAGGCTCAGACACACTTGGCTGCAGCTCCTTCTGTTTGTGAGGCTGTCAGGAGCGCTCTTGCTGGGCCAGGCCAGAAGCGCACAGCAGACCCCCTCGAGATCTTAGAGCCTGCTGTTCAGTGAACTGGTGTTTCTGGTTGGGTGAAAGGGGCCCAACCCTGCCCACTCCAGCCCAGCCCACCCAAGGGACTTGTGCCAGCAGCACACGCGGGAGGGAGAAGCCCCGTTTCTAGGGGCACCAGCAGCCCAGGGTGGAGAGAAGGATTCTCTCCACTCTGGGGGAGAGTTCTTGCTCTTGACCTAGTGGTTTCTACTTTCATTCAATTATTCTGATTTCAGAAATAAAATGAAATGTCTTATTTTGGAAAGTTAACCTTTCAAAGTCAGTAAATCAAACTGAGTAGATCAGAAGTGGGACAGGATGGATGGCATGGGTTGGTCTTAACAGCAGATTTGTTTGTTTAATTCTGCCCCCAACTCAATTTCATTGTCTCTAACACAAGCCTTATATAGCATCCCTATATTCCTCATTACCAACATGCAGCCAGGATGCATCATGCACACACACTCCAATCCCACACAGACAAATGACGAGGGGTGGGAACTTTTAGATAATTCCAGGACAAGAGGGAAGAAGCTGTGTCCCTAACATAGGAAACCCAGAAAAAGGGCAATCTTAATCAGATATGACAAGATCCTTATCACTAGAATGAATACTACATTCATGCATTAGACCATAAAATGAGGGTCACATCCCCTGCCCTGTGTTTGTAAGAGGAACATAAGGAACTCTGGGGGTGCTGCACACCCTTGGTGGTGGGACCCAACAAACACTAGAAACCCCAGGCTGTACATTTTAGACAACAGGTGTCCCATGCTTTCACAAAGGCACCCTTGTTCATTCGAGATTCATGCCAGCTCTGTAGGGCCTGTGATATATGGCCCTGACAGTAGAGCGCTGGTTCCTCTTTGTGCCTGAGAAATATCCGGGTAATAGACACTCAGGAACATTCCTCTCGGGATGAAACTCTCTGGAAAGAGGGTGACTGGAAAGGATCCAGAGTTTGGTTTTATGTGGATAAAGTAATCAACCCCTTCATGGTGGCCATATGTCCCTCTGAACCTGTGGGCTTGCAGCCTCTGTCTGAGCTCTGTTTTCCTTTTCCACATCTTCACACTGCTGCCTTGGATCATCAGCAACCCCTCTTTCCCCAGCCACTGCTCTTACGGGGCCTCCTGAGTGCCACCCCTTTCATTCTCCACAAATACCTCGTTGAAATTCAAGATGGCTAAAGTTAGGAAAGGATCCTGCAAAAGCCCTCTGTGTCTCTCTCCGCACAACTCCCTGCCACGTTATTTCATCGGGTATAGTGTCATGAACAGTCTCAAGTCTGAGAGGATACCTAGTATTCTGGGGCGCCAAAGGGCAGAGCATGCCTTGATCCTGTTGATGATGCCAACATGTACAGTAGCGCCCTCCCACATTTGGAGGGGTTAGGGCACAGAGTTAGATTTCTCCAAGGCTGGATGCAGAAGAACTCTAGAAGCCCCAGGTTCTTTTAGTTGCCAAGTACGTGGATGATATGAAGACATCGAGTGAATTCCATTCTTATGTATTCGGACACAATATTTGGGTGTTATGAACAAGGTGGAGTACTGCTCAGCCTTTGGGTACATTAGAAGCTAGACACACTCTGACCTTGTGGCAGAGACAAAGATGACTAAGATCTGATCCCTACTTCCTAGAAACTCACAAGCACATAGCAATTCTAATATAAGCAATTCTAATATAATTCTAATATAAGACAGAGTTGAAGTGGTTTAGAACAGCAGGGTAAGTACAGAGAGCTGCTAAAATTACATGGCAGGCCAAGAGTTAAGGAAAATTTTGGAAGAAAGGAGGCTGGGGTGGGGAAAAGAAACAGTCAAAGAAAATCTGAGAATGTTTGAAGACTTACACGGGTATGTGGATCTGATACCACAGAATCCGGTCATTGTCAGTGGGATTTGTGCTCTAGGTAGAGCTAAGGAAGTTCAAAGATTTTTTTTAGAACTATGCAGAGACAAATGATAGGGTGACAGCTTTTGCAGTTATTTGGAGAAAGTAAACATCTGAGGCCCAAAACAGCAAGAGAGTAATCCATTATTAATACAAGGCAGTAATTATGTAGCAATGACCAAAGGGCCTGGGCCTGAAGACTGGATTAGACTGTGGAAGATGAAGAAAACAATTTTCTGGGACATATATTTGCTGAATCAAAAGCAAAAGGGCCAGGCATGCTATCCTAGCTACTTGGAAGGCTGAGATGGGAAGATCACTTGAGCCCAGAAGTTCAAGGCCAGGTTGGGCAACATAACAAGACCCTGGCCCTAAAAACAAAACAAAACAAAACAAGAGGGGGTAGGGGCAAAAGATATTTGGATATTGCACATACTCTAAGCCTGATTTATATATATAGAAAATGGATACGTAGTATATATTATGATGTTAATATATAATGGATATATATAAATTCCATTATGTGTGTGTGTATGTGTACGTATATATATATATATACACACACACACGTACACACACACACACACACACACACACACATATATAATGGAATTCATGCTCTCTCCTCCAAAATCAGCTAGCTATTCTTTTCATAATTCAGATGGTCTCTTTTTTTTTTTTAGGGACAGGGTCTCACTCTGTTGTCCAGGCTGCAGTGCAGTGGTGTGGTCATAGCTCACTGCAGCCTTGAACTCCTTGGCTCAAGCAATCTTCCTGCCTCAGCCTCTCAAGTAGCTAGGACTACAAATGTGTACCAAAACACCTGGTTCATTTTTTAATTTTTTTGTAGAGATGGGGCCTTGTTATGTTGCTTAGGCTGGTCTTGATTCCTTGCCTCCGGTGATCTTACTGCTTTAGTCACCCAAAGTGCTGGGATTATATGTGTGAGCCACCATACCTGGCCATCATTCATCTGGTCTAATAATCAGATTGTTTTGAAAGTTGCACAGCCTGCGGGCAGCTCTTGAATATTAGATAAGCTGTAATAGGTAACCAAAGAGGATGTTGGTAGGAGCCGGAGGGGTCTCCATCTGGTTCCAGGGATGGGGTCTACAAATACAGCAAAATACCTAAGATCCTATGGAAACTTAGGATTGGACCCAATTGGACAGGTGGCTCAAATCCTAGGGTTGAGAGGACAGGTACTGTATCTAGGTGCTGCAAATGCTCCCATCCTGGGAGAGATAAGTGGGTCATTTTTAAGCTAGTGACTGGGGTGCTGTGGAGTAGGAAAAAGAGACAAATAGAGGATCCCTGGAGCATCTTATAGTGACAGAAAGTAAAGAATTGCTCAAAACTCCACAAGGATGAGAAATGTCAAAAGGATACAGGAGCCAATGTGAAAGAGCTCCTAGTGCCTAAGGTGGGAACAATTTGAGCAACAAATTAATACACAAGTTGAGCATGGTGGCAGGTGACGGTCAGCTACTTGGGAAGCTGAGGTGGGAGGATCAATTGCTTAAGCCCAGGAGGTCAAGGCTGCAGTGAGCTGTGTTCATGCCACTGCACTCCAGCCTGGGTGACAGAGTGAGACCTTGTCTCAAATAAATAAAATTTAAAAAATATATGTAAAAATATTTGGTTTAAAAAAATACATAACTACACCTGAATTCATAACATTATAAGCAAATGATTGAATAAATAAAGTGGGGGCAGGGTACCAATCTTTCCTAAAGAAGAATTCTAAATAATAACACACACACACACACACACACACCCCTTTAGGAAATGGAGCTTAACCACCCCGCACCACCCCTCCTCCAAAGTGTGTTAGATTTACGGGCTCACTCACAAAAAACAGAGTATGGGAAAGGGAAGTGATTTTACAGTGGAAAAACCTGGCAAGCACTACCCTAATCAAGTAATCAAGATTAGCATCGCCAGTTGGTATCACGTACCTCCTGATATAACGAGAAGAGCATGTCACCTCTGTGGTATTCTTCCCCCAAACACACAACCTCAGTCTAAGCATAAAGAAAATAACCCAACTTTATGGACATATTAAAAAATACCTGTTCATATTACAAAATACCTGAAAATTTTCAGTCATGGAAAACAAGGAAAGACTGAGAAACTGTCAGAGACCAGAAGAGCCTCAGGAGGCATGACATACATACAGTGTGCTACCCTCGGTTGGATCCCGGAAATATAAAGAACTTTAGTGGCAAAACTGGTGAAATTGGATGAAATCTGGAGTTTAGTTAATAGTAAATACACCAATGTTAATCTCGGTTTTGACAAATGTACCAAAGTTATCTAAGATGTTAATGTTAGGCGAAACTAGGTGAAGAATATATGGGAACTTGCTGTACTCTTTGTAACTTTTCTGTAAACCTGAAATTATTTGAAAATAAAAAGTTTATTTAAAAAATAAAATTATAAAATTAAACTGAAAGCCTTTCCTCTTAGATCTGGAACATACAAAGATGGCCACTTTCAATGCTGTTATTCAACATAGTACTGGAAGTCCTAGCTAGAGCAATCAGACAAGAGAAAGAAATAAAGGCCATCCAAATTGGAAAGCAAGAAGTCAAATTATCTTTATTTGAAGATGATGTGATCTTATTATTACTATTTTTTGAGATGGAGTCTCACTCTGTTGCCCAGGCTGGAGTGTAGTGGCACCATCTCAGCTCACTGCAACCTCTGCCTTCCAGGTTCAAAGGAATCTTCTGCCTCAGTCTCCCTGAGTAGCTGGGATTACAGGCACCCACCACCATGCCCAGCTAATTTTTGTATTTTTAGTAGAGTCAGGGTTTCACCACGTTGGCCAGGTTGGGCTAAAACTTCTGACCTCAGGTGTTCCACCCTCCTCAGCCTCCCAAAGTGATGAGATTACAGGTGTGAGACACCACACCCGGCTAATGTGATCTTATATGTGGAAAAACCTAAAGACTCCATCCAAAGGCTATTACAACTGATAAAAAAAATTCAGTAAAGTAGTAGCATACAAAATCAACATACAAAAATCTGTAGCATTTCTATATGACAACAGTGAACAGTCTGAAACATAAATTTAAAAAGTAATCCCATTTACAATAGCCACAAATAAAATACCTAGGGATTAACCAAACAAGTGAAAGATCTCTACAGTGAAAGCTGTAGAACACTGATGAGAGAAATTGAAGATGGCACAAAAAAACAGAAAGATACTCCATGATCATGGATTGGAAGAATCAATATTGTTGAAAGGTCTATAGTACCCAAAACAATCTACAGCTTCAATGCAATCCCTATCAAAATATCAATGACATTCTTCACAGAAATAGAAAAACATTCTAAAATTCATATGGAACCACAAAAGACCTAAAAATAACCAAAGCTATCCTGAGCAAAAAGAACAAAACTGGAGGAATCACATTACCTAACTTCAAATTACATTATGGAGCTATAGTAACAGAAACAGCATGGTACTGGTATAAAAACAGACACATGCCAGGCTCAGTGGCTGACGCCTGTATTCCCAGCACTTTGGGAGGCCGAGGCAGGTGGATCACAAGATCAGGAGTTCAAGATCAGCCTAGCCAGCATGGTGAAATCCTGTCTCTACCCAAAATACAAAAAAATTAGCTGATCATGGTGGTGCACACCTGTAGTCCCAGCTACTCGGGAGGCTGAGGCAGGAAAATTGCTTGAACCCAGCAGGCAGAGATTGTAGTGGGCTAAGATTATACCACTGCACTCTAGCCTGGGTGACAAAGCAAGACTTAATCTCAAATAAAAAAATAAAGACACATAGACCAATGTAACAGAAAACTCAGAAACAAATTCACACACCTACATTGAACTCATTTTTGACAAAGGTGCCAAGAACATGCATTGGGAAAAACAGTTTCTTTAACAAATGGTGCTGGGAAAACGGGATCTCTGATATGGTATGATTCTGTGTCGCCACCTAAATCTCATGTTGAATTATAATTCCCAGTGTTAGGGGAAGGGCCTGGTGAGAGGTAATTGGATCATGGGGGTGGAGTTCCCCCATACAGTTTTCATGATAATGAGTGAGTTCTCACGAGATCTTATGGTTTAAAAATGTGTGGCACTCTCCCCCTTGTGCTCTCTCTCTTTCCTGCTGCCATGTGAAGAAGGTGTTGGCTTCCTCTTCACCTTCCACCATGATAGTCTAAGACCTCACAGTCATGTTTCCTGTTAAGCCTGTGAAACTGTGAGTCAATTAAACCTCCTTTCTTCATAAATCTCAGATACTGTATCTATATACAGAAGAGTGAAATTAGACCCCTATCTCTTGCCATATGTAAAAATCGAATCAAAATGGATTAGAGACTGAAATCTCAATCTATGAAACTACTATCAGAAAACATTGGGGGAAACTCTCCAGGACATTAGTCTGGGCAAAAGTTTCTTAATTCCCTACAAGCACAGGCAACTAAAGCAAAAATGGACAAATGGGATCACATCAAGTTAAAAAGCTTTTGCACAGCAAAGTAAATAATCAACAAAGTGAAGAGACAATCCGCAGAATGGGAGAAAATATACACAAGCTACCCATATGACAAGGGATTAATAATTATATATATGTATATATACATATGTAACTCAACTCTATAGGAAGAAATCTAATAATCAATTTAAAAATGGGCAAAAGATTTGAATAGACATTTCTCAAAAGAAGACATACAAATGGAAAACAATCATATGAAAAGTTCTCAACATCACTGATTATCAAAGAAATGCAAATCAAAACTACAATGAGATATTATCTCACTCCGGTTAAAATGGCTTTTATCCAAAAGTCAGGCAGTAACAAATGCTGGAGAGAATGTGGAGAAAAGTGAACTGTTGTACACTTTTGGGAATGTAAATTAGTACAACCGCTATGGAGAGCAATACTACTGCTGGATATAAAAACAACAGAAAGGAAATTAGAATATTGAAGACATATCTGCACTCCCATGTTTGTTGCAGCACTGTTCACAATAGTCAAAATTTGGAAGCAACCTAAGTGTCCATTAACAGATGAATGGATAAAGAAAATGTGGTACATTTACACAATGGAGTACTATTCATCCATAAAAAGAATAAGATTCTGTCATTTGCAACAACATGGGTAGAACTTATTTCACTTATTATGTTAAGTGAAATAAGCTAGGCACAGAAAGACAAATATTGCATGTTCTCACTTATTTGTGGGATCTAAAAATCAAAACAGGCCAGGTGTGGTGACTCGCCTATAATCCCTGCACTTTGGGAGGCCAAGGCAGGTGGATCCCCTGAGGTCAGGAGTTTAAGACCAGCCTGGTCAACATGGCGAAACCCCTTTTCTACTAAAAATACAAAAATTAGCCAAGTGTGGTGGTAGGGGCCTGTAATCCCAGATGCTTGGGAGGCTGAGGCAGAAGAATGGCTTGAACCTGGGAGGCAGAGGTGGCAGTGAGCTGATATCAATCCCCATTGCATGGCAGCCTGGGTGACAAATTAGTAATTATTTGTGATTATTAAGACAAATTAATAATTTATTTGTCTTAACAAATTACCATTATTAATAAATTCATTCATTCAATATGGATGAGTAGAGCGAGACTCCGTCTAAAAAAAAAAACAAAATAATTGAACTCACGGAGCTAGAGAATAGAAGGATGGTTAGGAGAGGCTGGGAAGGATAGTAGAGGGGTAGTGGTGGGGAGGTGGGGATGGTTAATGGGTACAAAACAATAGAAAGAATGAATAAGGGTGGGGTACAGTGGCCCATGCATGTCACTCCAGTACTGTGGGAGGCTGAGGCAGGAGGATACTTTGAGCCAGGAGTTCAAGACCAGCATGGGCAACATAGTGAGAGCCTATCTCTACAAAAAAAATTAGCCAAGCATGGTGGTACATGTCTGTAGTCCCAGCTACCAAGGATGCTGAAGCAGGAGGATCCCTTCAGCCTGGGAAGTTGAGTCTGGCTGCAATGAGCCATGATTGCACCACTGCACTCCAGCCTTAGGTGACAGAGTAAGACTCTGTCTCAAAAGAAAAGAAAAGAAAAGAATTAGTAAGGCACAGTATTTAATAGCACACCAGAGGGACTATAGTCAATAATAATTTAATTGTACATTTAAAAATAATTAAGAGGCCAGGTGTGGTGGCTCACGCCTGTAATCCCAGCACTTTGGCAGGCTGAGGCAGGTGGATCATGAGGTCAAGAGATCAAGACCATCCTGGCTAATATGATGAAATGTGGTATCTCCTAAAAATACAAAACTTAGCTGGTGGTGCATGCCTGTAGTCCCAGCCACTTGGGAAGCTGAGGCTGGAGAATTGCTTGAACCCGGGAGGCGGAGGTTGCAGTGAGCCGAGATTGTGCCACTACACTCCAGCCTGGCGACAGAGTGGGACTCAGTCTTAATAATAATAATAATACTTAAGAGTATAATTGGATTCTTTGTAACACAGAGCATAAAACCTTTAGGGGATGAATATGTAATTTCCCATGATGTGATTATTCTGCATTGCATGTGATATGGTTTGGAACTGTGTTCTTACCCAAATCTCATGTTGGATTTTAATTTCCAGTGTTAGGGGTGGGGCCTTGTGGGAGGTGACTGGATTGTTGGGGTGGAGTTCTCATGAATGGTTTAGTACTTTTCCCCTTGGTTCTGTATAGTGAATGAGTTCTCACAAGGTCTGGTTGTTGAAAAGTGTGTGGGACCTCTAGCTCTATATCTCCTGCTTCAGCCATGTGAAATGAGCCTGCTTGCCCTTCACCTTCTGCCATGACTGTAAGTTTCCTGAGGCCTCCCAGCAGCTGCTGTGTTTCCTGTACAGCCTTCAGAACAGTGAGCCAGTTAAACTTCTTTTCTTTATAAATTATCCAGTCTCAGGTATTTCTTTACAGCAATGCAAGAATGGACTAATACTAATCATAGTATTGTAATATTGTATTATGGATATATATTATGTATTATAATCTAAAAATAAAAACATATATATTATGGAATATGTGTTATGGAATACAATATCATAATATAAATATCTCATATATTCCATAATATATGCTATATACCCATGAATATTAAAAATTAAAACTTTTTAAAAATTAAAAGTAAATATATAAAATTAAAATTCCTAACTATAATAACATATATTTGGGAAAGGAGAGATTGAGTTAAAATATTCAAAGGGCCTTGATTTTTCCATAAAAAGATAAAAGTTTTTATTAAGGCTCACCACAACCTCCGCCTCCTGGGTTCAAGTGATTCTCCTGCCTCAGCCTTCCAAGTAGCTGGAATTACAGGCATGTGCCACTATGCCCGGCTAATTTTGTATTTTTAGTAGAGATGGGGTTTCTACTCTGGTCTTGAACCCCTGACCTCAGGTGATCCGCCCACCTTGGCCTCCCAAAGTGTTACGATTATGGGCGTGAGCCACTGTGCCTGGTTCAGTTCTAATCTTTTCTTAGAACTCCATGCTGGCATATAACTAGTACCTACCACATAAAGTGTGTTCAGCTCATATAACATATCTCATTCTTTATAATTATAATCTCTATAGTGACCACAGAGTATTTCATAATATGGGTATACCACATTTATTTAACTACTTTCTTTCTGAAGGGCTTTTCTAGAACACTGTTTAGGCTGCCCCTGTAGGCTGAAAATTCTATGAGGTGAGAGATCTTGTCTGTCTTCTAAGACAGTACCTGCTGTTCAATAGTTCATTGGGTTGCTTTTCCAGATTAACTTTCCTGTAAGAAAAAAGAATGCCGGCCGGGCGTGGTGGCTCACGCCTGTAATCCCAGCACATTGTGAGGCTGAGGTGGGTGGATCATGAGGTAAAGAGATCTAGACCATCCTGGCCAAGATGATGAAACCCCGTCTCTACTAAAAGTACAAAAATTAGCTGGGTGTGGTGGGACGCGCCTGTAGTCGCAGATACTTCGGAAGCTGAGGCAGGAGAATTGCTTGAACCCAGGAGGTGGAGGTTACAGTGAACCGAGATCATGCCACTGCACTCCAGCCTGGTGAAAAAGTGAGACTCTGTCTCAAAAAGGAAGAAGAATGCTTTGGCCAGTTTTATTAATCTTTGTTATAGCATGAATTGATTCCTTGTACATTTTTTTGTTTAGTGAATTAGCCTTGGAGAATCCAGTCACGTCTGGATGACCTGACAGAATAAATGTTCCAGACTTTGAAAATGAGACTGTAGATTCTGGGGCAGAGTGATCCTCTAAGATCATTTAATTTCCCTCTCTGGCATCTCTTTTCTGTCCCAGTGCAATAGCAGCTAGGAAATGTGTCAAGCCTTAGATTTAGGAAACCGTATGTCTCAAATGTTCTGAGAGTACCTACTTAAAATATCCTAGCTTTCTTTAGTTTACTTGATCTTGTATTCTAGTTTGTGGTTTGGGACATTTAACTCCATACCTGGACTTCTAGGGAGTGACTGGCTCTAGAGAAAATGCTTGCAGGGCAGAACAGGCCACTTAGAAGACCTGCATCTTTGAAACCTTGCCTCTATACTCCCTACTTAATGACAAGCTGTCTAGCCCAATCCTAGAGGAGTCATAAAGGAGTTCTTCCCCGAGTTTGGCTGTCAGAGCAGAGCCTATGGACAGCTGCAGGAAGGGGCAGCAGATGCTACTTTGGGTGTGTCTCAAAGAAGAGACCTAAGCAGCTGACTGCATGCTGTCAGATTTACCTTGGAAAGCCCATTGTGATAGCACATGAAGTCACAGCCTGGAGGCAGAAAACTCTTCAGCTGAGGAGCATATGGTTGAAAAATGGCACCAATTTGGGGGATGGACATCCCACTGCCGTCATGTATCAACCTTTTATTATTATTTGTTTTTTTTATTTTGGGGCTTTGGATGCTGTTTTCTGGGACTCAGAGCTGGAAGCAGGTGCCAGCCAAGATAAACTCAGAGGTATGTGATGTAGCCCTCCCCTTGAAACTCACTGGTCCCTGCTCCTGAGGCCATAGAAACTCCTATACTTTGGGTCGGGGAGGAACTGGATGTGGAGAGAGGGGAGCTGAGACAGTGCCCATGGATGTCTTCCTATAGGTCACTATAAACCATTTTCCCTTCAATTCATTTCAGCAGACCTTGAGCAGCTATTATATATGGCAGTGTAGTAGACATTGAGGAAGAATAAAAAACTATCCCCACTTTCTAGGAGCTCGAGGTGAAGTGCGGGAGACAGATAGACACATAACTTCAAGGAAAGAGAATGTGTTAAGAGTTAACAGATGTATAAATGTTGCTAAAGACATGGGAGGTAGACAGCATTTTGAACTAGGGGGCTCTATAAAATGCCATCTGGGAGAGCTCAGGTTTGAGTGTGCTTCAGAGGAAGAGTGGGATTTGGAAGGTGGTTGGGGTGAATACATTGGAAAAAAGGCATGGGAAAGGGAAGAGTATTGGATATGTTTGAGGAGAGATTGTAGTGCTATGAGGACTACATTTGCTAACCTGGATGGAGTACAGAACTGTAAGTACTCAGAAAAGGTTGAAAAGTTGGCAGAGGTCACATTGTAGAGTTTTGAATGCCACGCTGAAAACTTTGTATAAATACAACTCTGCAATTTGAAAGATATCAAAGATTTTAAAGCCAGGTAAAAATGTGCTTAGATCTGTGCTTTAGAGCAATGCTTTTGAAACTTTAACATGCATATGTGTCACCTGGGAGGTCTTGTTAAAAAGCAGATTCTGATGTAGTAAGTCTGGGGTAGGGATTGAGTTTCTGCAGTTCTAACAAGCTCCCAGGTGATGCTGCTGCCCTTGGACCGGGACCGCACTTTAAGAGTGAGGCTTTAAATACCTCCAGCAGGCTTTTATTATAGTTCTCTGGCATAGCTAGGCCATTTTAATGGTTTAGTGGGAAGAAGGGAGGAAATAAAAGAATAAGAGAAGTAGGGTGAAAAAGAGTACATAGCCTGGCAGGGGGGCTCACGCCTGTCATCCCAGCACTTTGGGAGGTTGAGGCGTGTGGATCACTTGAGGTCAGGAGTTCAAGACCAGCCTGGCCAACATGGTGAAACCCTGCCTCTACTAAAAATACTAAATTAGCCAGGCGTGGTGGCATGCACCTGTAGTCCCAGCTACTGGGGAGACTGAGGCACAAGAATCACTTGAACCTGGCAGGCGGAGTTTGCAGTGAGCCAAGATCACGCCTCCATATTCCAGCCTGGGCGACCAAAGGGAAACTTCATCTCAAAAAGAAAAAAGAGAACATAAATTAATTCCCCAAATATTTATCTTCCACCCCTCCCCCCCATTTGCACTCCTCTGTGCACTACTGATACAGCATTAAGTGGAAGAGACAGAAGTGTCTGCTGTCAGGGATGTGAAAGTGGAGGCGGTCTTGGGGTGAACGTTTGCATGTGGAAGGTGATGCAAGACTCCCTTGCAAAGGAGGGAGAAGGGACTGAGTCTAATTTTCCTTATGCCAAGCGTCAGTCATAAACATTATCATCATTTTCTATGAGGACTACATTCATCACGGCATTTCCAGTGCCTAGTACACTGCCTGGCATACTAGTAAGTGCTCTGTAGTTGTTTGTGAAATAAATAAATGACTTCTCAATTCTAACCCTGAATGACTCACAAGATGATGGTGTTTTAAACAACACAGGCAACATTAGACAGGAAAAGTGGTGAATGTGGTGGGAGGCAGAAAATCAACTATTGTATTGGAAGTGCTTGTAGAATTTATGTGGAGATATTCACCGGCCGAGACCTGTGATGTTCAATATTGTATCCACTAGTCATATGCGACCATTTAAATTTTTTATTTTTGAGACAGGATCTCACTCTGTCACCCAGGATGGAGTACAACTCATGGCTCACTGCAACCTTGAACTTCCAAGCTCAAGTGATTCTCCCACCTCAGCTTCCCAATTAGCTGAGACTACAGGCCTATGCCATAATTCCTGGCTAATTTTCATATTTTTTTGGTAGAGACAGGGTATTCGCATGGTGCCCAGGCTGGTCTCAAACTCCTGCGCTCAAACAATCCACATGCCTCGGCCTCCCAAAGTGCTGGGACTACCGGCATGAGTCACCACACCTGGCCTTAAATTAATTAAAATTAAATAAAATTTAAAATTCAGTTTCTGGCTGGGCATAGTGACTCATCCCTGTAATCCCAACACTTTGGGAGGCTGAGATGGGTGGATCACGTGAGGTCAGAAGTTGGAGACTACCCTGTCTCTAGTGAAAATACGAAAATTAGCTGGGTATGGTGGCACATACCTGTAGTCCTAGCTACTTGGGAGGCTGAGGCAGGAGAATGACTTGAACCTGGGAGGTGGAGGCTGCAGTGAGCCAGGGTGGTGCCACTGCACTGCACTCCAGCCTGGATGACAGAGCAAGACGCTGTCACAAACAAACAAAGACAGCACACACAGAACCCCCAAAGCTAACTGTGTCACTCTGCTAAAAGTAACTAAGCACACAAAATTTCTCTGTATCCTATTGCCTGCAGCAGCATTTTCAAACCTTTTTTGACTCTCAAACTTCTTTCACTCATAATTTTGTCAACCTCCTTAGCAACTGCAAAAGCATTTTTTCCATTGTTCGTAACATATAAGTTATTTTAGATAAATTTTATTTTAAAAACAATAACTTTTTATAATTGGAAAGTTATTTTAACATCATCTTAGAGAGTAAAAGACAAACATCTACTTTTTCCTCTGTAACAAGTGATGCATGACATTTAATTATGTTAAGTATATTAGGTATGACAGTTTTCACAACTGCGCATGAGAAATGGCAAAGGTTTTTTTTGTTTGTTTTTTGTTTTTGTCTATATCAAACATACTCTGGCTTAAGCCTCCCTTTTCCTAGGGTGGAAAAAAAAAAAAGTCCAACCTTTGTGTTGTGTAAGAATTCCAGAGTTTCTGCAGTTTATCCAGAGTAGAAGTGAGTCAGGCCCTTAAGCTACAGGGACAGCTCTTGCTTTTCTGCTTAGCCGTCTGAAGGCAAAAACTGTGTCTCAACCCCTCTCTGCCAAATTCAGTCTCCAGGGTCTTTGCTAAGGTCCCTAAACTGCTGCATCTGGGCTCTTAACACCAGAAGGGCTTGGGGACCCCCTACCCAGGGTCCTCCTACCCAGTGCACCTGAGGCTTCAGGACTGTTGGCATTTCAGGGAGCCAGCTTCCTTCCGGTCTCAACCCTCTGGGACACTTCAGCTTAAAATTTTCGCAGATCTAGACTTATTTGAGGATTGGTTTTTAGGTTCCTGACAATTGTTTCAGCCCTGAAATACGAACTCCCTGCTGTGCATTAGCAGTTCCAAGACCCTATGGACAAAGGCCTGGCTACCTTCTTTGGTACAGGGAAGCATGAATCTACTTTCTTTGTCAGAAAATGCAGCAATAAAAATATAGTGTAAATTACTCAGGAAGTCACTCTACCTCATAAAACAACTAATACAATTTCTTACTACATATTTATGTAATAAAAAACTTTTTTGTTGACAAACACATTTTTATTAAGGTACAATGAATACCATAAGATGCACAGATCTTAAGTGTATAGGGTGATGAGTTTTGACAAATGTACATACCCATGTAACTAAAACCCTGATCAAGATATGGCTTAGCCACAGCCCTGAATGGAAACGACCCTCATGTTGTTTTCTGGTCTCTGCCCTCCTCTCTGCTCAGAGACAACCTCTATTCTGATTTCTATCGTCATGGATTAGTTGTGCCTGTTCTTTTTCTTCTGAAGAAGTTAAAAGTTAAATTTAAAAGTATCTTACAACAAATAAAAGTGTAAAAAACAACATACCAAAACTCATGGAATGCAGCAAAAACAGTTAAAAAGGAAATTTATAGCAGTAAATGTTCTATGCTTTGACTATTTTGTCCTTTCAAAAGTCATACCTAAATGTTATCCCCAATGTGGCAGCATCATGAGGGATTCTTTTTTTCTTTTATTATTATTATACTCTAAGTTCTGAGATACATGTGCAGAATGTGCATGTTTGTTACATAGGTATACACGTGCCATGGTGGTTTGCTGCACCCATCAACCCATCATTTACATTAGGTATTTCTGATAATGCTATCTCTCCCCTAGACCCTCCATTCCCCCGACAGGCCTCAGTGTGTGATGCTCTCCTTCTATGGCCATGTGTTCTCATTGTTCAACTCGCACTTACGAGTGAGAACATGCTGTGTTTGGCTTTTTGTTCTTGTGTTAGTTTGCTGAGAATGATGGTGTCCAGCTTTATCCACGTTTCTGCAAAGGACATGAACTCATCCTTTTTTATGACTGCATTGTACTCCATGGTGTATATGTGCCACATTTTCTTTATCCAGTCTATCATTGATGGGCATTTGAGTTGGTTCGAAGTCTTTGCTATTGTGAACACTGCTGCAATAAACATACATGTGCATGTGTCTTTATAGCAGAATGATGTATAAACCTTTGGGTATATACCCAGTAAAGGGATTGCTGGATCAAATGGCATTTCTGGTTCTAGATGCCTGAGGGATCACCACACTGTCTTCCACATTGGTTGAACTAATTTACACTCCCACCAACAGTATAAAAGCATTCCTGGGCCAGGCGCGGTGGCTCAAGCCTGTAATCCCAGCACTTTGGGAGGCCTAGGCGGGTGGATCACGAGGTCAAGAGATCGAGACCATCCTGGTCAACATGGTGAAACCCCGTCTCTACTAAAAATACAAAAGAATTAGCTGGGCATGGTGGCACGTGCCTGTAATCCCAGCTACTCGGGAGGCTGAGGCAGGAGAATTGCCTGAACCCGGGAGGTTGCGGTGAGCCGAGATAGCGCCATTGCACTCCAGCCTGGGTAACAAGAGCGAAACTCCGTCTCAAAAAAAAAAAAAAAAAAAAGCATTCCTGTTATTCCACATCCTCTCCTGCATCTGTTGTTTCCTGACTTTTTAATGATCACCATTGTAACTGGCATGAGATGGTATCTCACTGTGGTTTTGATTTGCATTTCTCTAATGACCAGTGATGATGAGCTTTTTTTCATATGTTTGTTGGCTGTTAGTTCTGCCTGTTCTTGAACCTTAGAAAAAATAGAATCATACAGTATGTGTTCTTGTGTGTCTGACTTCTTTTGCTAAACATAATGTGTTTGAGATTCACACATGTTGTTGACAATTTTTTTTTTTTCTGAGACAGAGTCTCACTCTGTCATCCGGGCTGGAGTGCAGTGGTGCAATCTTGGCTCACTTCAGCTTCCATCTCCCAGCTTCAAGCGAGTCTCCTGGCTCAGTCTACCAAGTAGCTGGGATTACAGGGGCTCACCACCATGCCCAGCTAATTTTTGTATTTTTAGTAGTGATGGGGTTCCGCTGTGTTAGTCACGCTGGTCTTGAACTCTTGACCTCAGGTGATCCACCCCACCTCGGCCTCCCAAAATGCTGAGATTACAGATGTGAGCCACTGTGCCCAGCCCACCTTTTTCATTTTAGTCACTCTGGTGAGTCTGCGTGGTATTGCACTGTGGTTTTAATGTGCATTTTTTTAATGACTAATAATAGTGTACAACTTCTCATGTTTATCGGCCATTTAGAAATTCTCTTTTGTGAACTGCCTGTTCATCTTTTGCACATTTTTAATAATTATCAGTGTTTCTTTTACTTAACTGATTTGTAGGAATTCTTTGAATTCTATGGACATGAATCCTTTGCCACATACAGGTATTTAAAATAAATTCTACCACTCTGTGACTCATTTTTTCATTTACAGTGGTATCTTAATGACCAAAAATTCTAAATTTTAATCAAATCCAATTTATGAAGTTTTGTTGTTAAGATTAGTGTTCTCCTCCTTACCCCCACCCCCACCCCCAGTGCAAGAAATCTTTGCTTACCACTAGACCATGAAGATACCCATCTATATTTCTTCTAGAAGCCTTATTTTTTTTCTCTTTCACATTTAGATCTATGATCCATCTCACATTATTTTTGTGTATGGTGAGGGGTAGGGGTCAACACTCCCCTCCTCCCTATGTAGATATCTAATTCTTCCAGTAGGGCAGGAACTAGGGTAAAAATGAGTGAGGTACTTATCTTGAACACAAAATGTAAGGAGCAGCAAAACTTAATAATCGAGATATTTAATGAAACATTCTTGGCTGGGCACAGTGGCTCACTCCTGTAATCCCAGCACTTTGAGGCTGAAGCAGGCAGATCATGAGGTCAGGAGATCGAGACTATCCTGACCAATATGGTGAAACCCCGTCTCTACTAAAAATACAAAAATTAACCAGGAGTGGTGGCACGTGCCTGTAATTCCAGCTACTCAGGAGGCTGAGGCAGGAGAATAGCTTTAACCTGGGAATCAGAGGTTGCAGTGAGCCGTGATTGCACCACTGCACTCCAGCCTGGCAACAGAATGAGACTCCATCTCAAAAAAAAAAAAAAAAAAAAAAAAAAAATCAGTTAAACACAATACTATTATCATGCCAAAAAATTTAACAGTAATTTTATAATACCATCAAATACCCTTTAGCGTTCAAATTCCAATTATCGTCTGGATGTGGTGGCTCACAACTGTAATCCCAGCACTTTGGGAGACTGAGGCAGAAGAATTGCTTGAGCTCAGGAGTTGGAGATCAGCCTGGGCAACATGGTGAAACCCTATCTCTACTAACAATACAAAAATTAGCTGGGTGTGGTGGTGTGTGCCTATGGTCCCAGCTACTAGGGAGGCTGAGATGGGAGGATCACTTAAGTCTAGAGGGAAAAGGTTGCAGTCAAGACTGCTCCCCAGCATACCAGCTTGGGTGATGGAGCCATATCCTGTTTCAAAAAAAAAGAAAAATTCTAATTGTCTCCTAAGTGATATAAATTTTTATTTACAGTCTGTTTGATTAAAGATCACAGATTGAAATGGATCTGTGTATCTCTTAACTGTCTCCTAATCTGTAAATTGTCCATTCTCATTCCTTTCTTTTATTTTATCCAATTATGTGTTGAAGAAATGGGGTCAGGTGCGGTGCCTCACACCTGTAATCCCGGCACTTTGGGAGGCCAAGGTGGGTGGAACACGTGAAGTCAGGAGTTTGAGACAAGCCTGGCCAACATGGTGAAACCCTGTCTCTACTAAAAATACAAAAAATTAGCCAGGCATGGTGGTATGTGCCTGTAATCCCAACTACTTGGGAGGCTGAGCCAGGGGAATTGCTTGAACCCGGGAGGCAGAGGTTGCAGTAAGCTGAGATCACTCCACTGCACTCCATCCTGGGCAATGGAGCAAGACTCCATCTCAAAAAATAAAAAAAAAAAATAAATTTTTTTGTAGAGTTGGGGTCTCACTATATTGCCCTGACTGGTCTTGAATTTCTGGCCTCAAGCAATCCTCCCACCTTGGCCTCCCAAAGTGCTAGGATTACAGGCATGAGCCACCATACCCAGCCTAAATGTCATTTTCTAAATGATCCTGATACTTGAAAACACAATAGATTTTTCTATATTGACTTTCTACCTTGAGACTTTGCTAAATTTGCTTATCAATTCTAATTATCTATCTGTAGGTGTTTTTGAATATTCTACACAATTATATTGTCTGAAAATAATAATTTTATTTCTTCCTTTCTGATTCTTATACCTTTTCTTTCTTTCTTTTTTTTTTTTTTACTACATAGAAGTTTATTGTGAAAGTAAATTTAACATACAAACACACAGTATGGCTAATGGTGGCAAAAGCAATCTGGTAGCTTAAGGCAAGTGTTAATGGAGATGAATTTAGAAAAGATGATGCAATTATGTAATTTTGTTTAAATATAGATTATGAAACAATATCAAATTGCATCAATAACTTACTAGAAGTAGTTTTCAAAGCCTGCACTAATGGAGAAAAAGGGCTCATGATCTTAATGCCAGCATTAAGACAGACAGAAGCAGCGTGGTGCTAAACGACAGGAAAATCCAGTATTTACAGAAGGATGGTAACAGGAACATTTCATAGCATTTGATCGTATTTACTGGTGGACTGAAAGCCCTTAGCTAGACAATAGAGGAAAATGTACCATCATCATGTTATTTAAAAAAATTTAAGTGCAGAAGTCAAAAACCAAGGAGCTCTGTAATAAAGTAACCATCAAACACCACTGTAAGGATCACTTAAATAGCGATTCCCTTAGGGGAAATTAGGGCACTGAGTGTGTAAACATGTGAGCTGTGCAACACCAAAGCCAACCAAATTCATTCATAGTACTTATAGTTACACAAGATCAGCGTGGCCTTTAATGATGCATTATTGTTTATAACAATTTAAACACACTCCTTACCATGCATGACTTCAAATATATAACACATATTTTTATTCTGATACAGGATATCTGTTATGAAATAAGATCTATATACAATGAAAGTAACACCTCCCTCACCAATCAAGTAGTTTTATGCTTTTTAAATGCAAAGACCTTATTCAGACTTCAGTTCATTTTCTGAATTGACTGTGTCAGTTTTTCACTCATTAAAATAATGCCATTTTACAATAAAATACATTTTTCAAAAATTCAGAAATGTAGTAACATTTAATAAATGTGACCATGAAAAATATTTGTAAGGAGGTGCCAAATGACCTAGCACTTTTTTCCAGTCTGTATCTAAAAATAAGTTGCACTCAATTTGACAGAAAGCCTATTTAAAAAATATTCTTACATTAATTCATCTCAAAAGTTTCTATTAATAGTCCTTTTGCAAAATACCATATATATAGCTGAAAATGTTTTTTCCAGAATTAATGGAAGAAAATGTATCCTCTGCACAGATGAACATTTTCTCTCTAAAACTAATCTTCCATCATCACCCAGCATGTTTTTTACAAAAGCATGCAATATAAAATACACATAAAAGCAGCTATCTTAAACATGATTTTGATACAATAATATTACCTTTGTAGCTGATTCATCACTGTCTCCAGTTTAATATGCTGTTACATACATGAAGAAGCTCCAGTATCCCTTTTCTGATTGACTTTTTAAAAAAAATTCCTGAATAAAATAGAAGCCAGCCTGTGACTTCTTTAGGCATTTCAGTAGAAGATCATCTATGGAGACTATCTCCAGCCAAACTCATGATAGAACAGAAGCTAAAACAGTCTGGGTCAGATTACAGAGTTAATACCAATTTAAAAGTTTTACGTTTAAAAAGAAAGAGCCTGTAATTCCAGCACTCTGGGAGGCTGAGGCAGGAGGATCGTTTGATGCCAGGAGTTTGAGACCAGCCTGGGCAACACTGCAAAACCCTGTCTCTCTATATATAAAATTTTAAAGAAAGGAAGAAAGAAAGAGTGCTGATTATTAGCATTTAAAAGGATACTGCAACTTTAATAACTGTAAACTTCGTTAGAAGGCTGTGGCAGACAGCTCTAGGCTACTAGGTATTGAGCCTGTAAATAATGCAAACATCAGCAGTTTTAAAATGCTATAAAACTATAAAAACACAAAAGAAAATGGGGCAAACAAAACAAAACAAAAAAACAAGAATGCTCATCTAAAATGAAGCTGTATAACCAAAACATCTAGAAGTACAAAAAAAAATTAGAAAAAATGATTAGAGAAACCCTCTGGTATAATTTTAATTTTTTGACCTGTTTTAAAATGACACAAACTTTTAAATTACAATGGAGGAAAAAGAGCTTTACATGTAGATAGTTTCAACTCACTAAAATAATGCCAACAAGGTAAGCTTGCATAGAAAAAAACTTCAAATTATTACTGGCTACATGCTTTAAAAATTAGAAATGCAGGTATTATAATCATAGTGCAAAACCATGGCAGTTTTTGATGTCTATTACTGCCTAAGGTTGAGAAATAGACCGTAGTACCTCCAGTTATCAGTTTCTGGTCTTCTAATCAATTATTTCTGCCAACTAGAAGCAATGTGTATGTACAGATGGGTGGCACACATCTGCTGTGCTATTAACGAAGTTTGAGGTCATCACCACCACCTAAATGGGAACCAGGACTAGGGTCTTGTCTTCTTGCCAGTTACTGCCAGCAGCTGTGAAACTCTCGCCTCCATTTCCTCCCGATGAGACCTGTCTGTCTTCAAATTCACGTGTCCTTCTCCGAGTCTCTCCAAAGGCCTTTTGGGTGCTTGCCTGCTTCTCTTTCTAGGTCGACATACTCTCGGCTAGGTGTCGGTCGCTGTTCTCCCTGCCAGCTGGACGGAAAAAACTGGAGAGACAGATTGGTTCCTGTGGCCACAAAAGCGATTTCCGAGCGGCCGTCGCGGCAGCAGTTCGGGAAGCGCGCCTGGCGCTCCTCCTGGGGCCGGTCCCTGAATCCCTTGTAGTTAATCTCACACTCGCGGCTCAGCTTCCTGAAGAACTCCTCGTCCTCGAACTTGCTTCTCTGGTCGGGCACAACGCGCGGCATCTTCCCGCCCTGAAGCCGCGCCAGCCGGCCGCGCTGAGAGCTTGCGCGGGCACCCGCTGGCGGGCTCCGAGGTGACCGACTGACCGCCCACCCGCGGCGCCCGCCCGCTTAGACTCCAGCTCCCGGGAGTCTGAGGCGCCGCCGCCTCAGCGGTTGCTTGCAGCTCGCGCAGCCCCAGCTTTTGCTGCCCCCGGCCGCCGCCGCCCGCCGCCGCCACTTCCTCTCACCTTTTCTTTTTCTTGTTTGATTGCACTGATTAGGACTTCCTGTACAATGTTCAATGGAGATGGTATAGTGGGGATTATTTTTTTGTGTATGTAGAGGAAAGTTTTCAAGAATTTACCATATATGTGTAATGTTTGCTATATGGCTTTTGCAAATACTCTATCAAACTAAGGAAGTTCCCTTTTATTTCCAGTCTGCAAGCAGTTTTAGTATGAATGGGTGTTTTTTTGTTTTGTTTTGTTTTTTTTTTTTTTTTGAGAAGGAATCTCACTCTGTTGCCGGGGCTGGAGTGCAGTGGTGCGATCTTGGCTCACTGCAACCTCCGCCTTCTGAGTTCAAATGATTCTTGTGCCTCATCCTCTGGAGTAGCTGGGATTTCAGGCAAGCATCACCACACCTGACTAATTTTTGTATTTTCAGTAGAGATGAGGTTTCACCATTTTGGCTAGGCTGACATCCCAAACTGCTCACAAGCATGAGCCACTGTGCCTGGCCAGGTGATAAATTTTATCAAGTAATTTTCATGTCTCTATGTGAGATGGTTATATGTTTTTCTTGTTTATTCTATCAATCTGCTGAATTACACAGAGTTTTAAAAATAAAACAACTGTGAATTCTTGGAATAAATATAACATGTTCATGATGATGTTCATGATGCTTTTCTTTTCTTCTCCTTTTTTTTTTCTTTCTTGATATGGAGTCTCACTCTGTCACCCAGGCTGGAGTGCAGTGGTATAATCTCGGCTCACTCCAACCTCACCTCTTGGGTTCAAGGGATTCTCCTGACTCAGCCTTCCTAGTAGCTGGGATTACATGTGCCTGCACAACACTTGGCTAATTTTTTATATTATTAATAGAGATGGGGTTTCATCATGTTGGATAGGCTGGTCTTGAACTCCTGACCTCAAGTGATCCAGCTGCCTTGGTCTCCCAGAGTGCTGGGATTACGGGCCTGAGCCACTGCGCCAGGCGGATGCTTTTCATATATTACTGGATTCACTTTGCTGATAGTTGGTTTAGGACTTTTGTATCTACATCCATGAAAGAGATTGGCTTATAATTTTTCTTTCTAATATTGTCCTTATTAGATTTTAGAATCAAGGTCATTCCTGCCTCCTAACATAGAAGGAGAAGTAATTCCTCTTTTTCACCTCATTGGAATAAGAGACACCCCTAAAACAAAATTCTAAAGGGTTTTGATGTTTTATGCCAGGAACCTGGGACAAAACGAGATTATTCTTTATTATAACAAACACACATATATGAGAGAGAGAGATTGATTTTAAGAAACTGACTCACAAAATTGTCAGGGCTTAACAAATCAGAAATCCTTAGGACATACCAGAAACTCAGATAACTGAGTTGATGTTTCGGTCTTGAGTCCAAAATCAGTGTGTAGGCCAGGCTTGAAACTCAGGCAAGGATTTTCCATTGCAGTCTTGGGGCAGAATTCCTTCCTCTTCAGGAAACCTCAGTAACTGCTCTTAAGGCCTTCAATGGATTGGATGATGCCCGCCCACATTATGGATGTTAATCTGCTTTAAGGTGTACTAATTCTAAATATTAAGCACATCTGAAAACTACTTTCACAGCAACACCTAGACTAGCTATTGAACAAACAACTGGGCACACAGCTCATCCAAGCTGACATGAAATTAACCATCACAATTCTATGCTTTCTTCTGAGAGTTTTATAATTTTACAGCTCTTACATTTAGATATTTGCATCATTTCGAATTAATTTTTGTAGATGATGTGAATTAAGAGTCCAACTTCATTCTTTTGCATGTGGCTGTCTAGTTGTCCAAGCACCATTTGTTGAAGAGACTATTCCTATTGCATGGTCTTGTTACTCTTATAGAAAATCAATTGATTTATAGATATAAGGGTTTATTTCTAGATTCAATTTGATTTCATAGATATATATGTTTATCCTTATGCCACTACCACACTGTTTTGATTACTACAGCGTTGTAAGTTTTAAAATCAGGAAGTCTGAGTCCTCCAACTTTGTTCTTTTCAAGATTATCTTGACTATTCAGGGACGCTTGTAATTCCCTATGAATTTTATGACCAACTTTTTCATTTCTGTCAAAAAGGCTATTGAGATTGTGATAGGGATTATACTGACTCTGTAGATTGCTCTGGGGAATACTGCCATTTTAACAATATTAAATATTCCAATCCAGGAAGAAGGGATGTCTTTCCATTTGTTTAGGTCTTCTTTAGTTTTTCAACAGTGCTTTGTACTTGTCAGTGTACAATCTTGCACCTTCTTGATTAAATTTATTCCTGAGTATTTTATTCTTTTGGATGCTAAAAATGGAGTTGCTTTTATTAGCTCTAATAGGTTTCTTTCAGATATTCTATATGTAAAATACATCTCTGTGAACACAGTTTTACTTATTTACTTACTAATTTGGATGGCTTTTCTTTTTCTTGCCTAATTGCTCTGGTTAGAACTTCTGTACAATTTTAAACAGATGAGGCTTCACTGGGGCAGTGAAGTCAGGACTTCTAGACCCACTGGGGTGAAGGACCTGCTCTAGTGTCTCTACTGGGCAGGAGTTCCACCCCCAGGGCTTTACCAGGCCCACACAGCTTTGGGTAGAGGTTGTCTAACCTGTTGAAAGTGAGGCAATGGTCCCCCTTTTCGAAACTGAGGTGGCAGCCCTGATGATCTCTGAATTGCCTTCCAGGTTACTCTTCCCTTGTCTTCAAGAATAGTATATGTTTGTGGCTGAAGAGCTCTACGGTCCTGAACTGTAAAATTCCAGAAGACCAACAGCTTTCCTTCATTCCCTCCCATCTCCTGCTTCTTCAGTTCAACCTGGCAGTTTTCCTGCTGTGGTGACTGATTGACTGATTAATCCATGTTTCACACATATACTGATCCCCTTGTTAAAGGGTTACTTGGCCACACCTTCAGTGTTCTCTTTCAATACACATTCTTTTTTTTGGCAATATGAATAGGCTGAGAATTTTTCAAATCCTTAAATTCTAGTTCTTTTTTGCTCAATAATTCCATATTCAAGTCAATTCTCTCTTCTCACATTTTACTATAATCAGGAGAACCAAGGCACTTCTTCAAAACTTTACTTAGGAATCGCATTAGCTAAATATCCAATTTTATGACTCACAAGTTCTATTTTCCATGGAATACTAGAACATGAACAGAATTCAGCTAAGTTCTTCACTACTTTACAAGGATCACCAATTCTGTTTCCAATAATATGGTCCTTATTTCTCTCTGAGACCTTGTCAGAATGGCCTTTACTGTGCATATTTCTACCAACATTCTGTTTGTGATTACTTAGATATTCTCTAAGAAGATGGAAGCTTTCCCTACAACTCTCCTCTTTTCTTCCCGAGCCCTCAGCAGCATCACCCTTGATAGTTCATTCTGGCAACGTAGGCTTTTTCTGGCACGCATCTCAAAACTCTTCCACCCTCTGCTCATTACGCAGTTTTTGGTGTATGTTGCAGCAGCACCCTCACTTCTTGGTACCAATTTCTATCTTAGTCCATTAGGTTTCTATAATAAAATATGATAAGCTGGGTGGCTTATAAACAACAGAAACTTCTTTCACACAGCTCTGGGGGCTGGGAAGTCCAATATTGGGGTGCCAGCATGGTCAGATTCTGGTGAGGTACGTCTTCCGGGTTGCAGACTGCCAACTTCTCACTATGTTTTTACATGGTGGAAAGAGTGAAAGCTATCTCTGGAGTTTTTTTTTTTTTTTTTTTTTTTTTGAGGCAGAGTCTCTCTCTGTTACCCAGGTTGGAGTGCAGTGACATGATCTCAGCTCACTGTAACCTCCTCCTCCTAGGTTCAAGCAATTCTCGTGCCTTAGCCACTTGAATAGCTGGAATTACAGGCATGTCCCACCACACCTGGCTAATTTTTGTATTTTTAGTAGAGACAGGGTTTTGCCATGTTGGCCAGGCTGGTCTCAAACTCCTGGCCTTAAGTGATTCACCCACCTCAGCTTCCCAAAGTTCTGGGATTACAAGTGTGAGCCACCATGCTCAATCCTCTGGAGAATTTTTTGTAAGGACACTAATTCCATTCAAGAGGGCAACCCCTTATGACCTAATCACTTCCCAAAGGCCTCATCTACTAATACATTTCATTGAAGGTGAGGATTTAAACAAATGAATTTTGGGGGGACATTAACACTGGGTCCATTGCAATGTCCTTTATCAGCGAAGGAAGTCTCCTTCTATTTCTATTTGTTTATGGTTTTTATCACAAATTGTTGTTGGATTATGTCAAATACTTTTTTCTACATCCATTTATATGATCATGTGAGTTTTTTTCTTTTTTAAGTTATTAATGTGGTATATTACAATGATTTATTTTCTTGCATTAAAAAAACCTTTGCAGCAGGACGGTGGCCATGGAAGTCGGAATCCGCTAAGGAGTGTGTAACAACTCACCTGCCGAATCAACTAGCCCTGAAAATGGATGGCGCTGGAGCGTCGGGCCCAAACCCGGCCGTCGCCGGCAGTCGTGATCAAGTAGGATTCATCCTGGGGATGCAAGGCTGGTTCAACATACGCAAGTCTATAAATGTAATTCACCACATAAACAGAACCAAAAACAAAAACCGCATGATTATCTCAATTGACGCAGAGAAGGCATTCAACAAAATTCAACAGCCCTTTATGCTAAAAACCCTCAATAAACTCGGTATCGATGGAATGTATCTCAAAGTAATAAAAGCTATTTACGACAAACCAACAGCCAATATCATACCGAATGGGCAAAAACTGGAGGCATTCCCTTTGAAATCCGGCACTAGACAAGGATGCCCTCTTTCACCACTCCTATTCAATATAGTACTATAAGTTCTAGCCAGAGCAATCAGGCAAGAAAAAGAAATAAAGGGTATTCAAATAGGAAAGGTGGAAGCCAAATTGTCTCTATTTGCAGACGACATGGTAGTATACCTAGAAGACCCCATCACCTCAGCCCAAAAACTCCTGAAACTGAGAAGCAACTTCAGCAAAGTCTCAGGATATAAAATCAATGTGCAAAAATCACAAGCATTCCTCTACACCAATAACAGACTTAAA